GAATGAGTAAGCCTTTTTTTTTTTTTTTTTTTTTTTTAAAGATTGTATTTATTTATTTGAGGGGTAGAGTTACAGACAGAGAGAGACAGGTCTTCCTACCATTGGTTCTTTTTTTTTTTTTTTTTTTTTTTTTGACAGGCAGAGTGGACAGTGAGAGAGAGAGACAGAGAGAAAGGTCTTCCTTTTGCCTTTGGTTCACCCTTCAATGGCCGCCGCGGCCGGCCTGCCGCGCTGATCCGAAGCCAAGAGCCAGGTGCTTCCTCTCGGTCTCCCATGCAGGTGCAGGGCCCAAGGACCTGGGCCATCCTCCACTGCACTCCTGGGCCATAGCAGAGAGCTGGCCTGGAAGAGGGGCAACCGGGACAGAATCCGGTGTCCCGACCGGGACTAGAACCTGGTGTGCTGGCGACGCAGGCAGAGGATTAGCCTATTGAGCGGCGGTGCCGGCCCTACCATTGGTTCTTACCCAGATGACCGCAGTGGCTGGAGCCGCACTGAACCCAAGCCAGGGGCCAGGTGCTTCTTCCAGGTCTCCCATGTGGGTGCAGGGTCACAAGCACTTGGGACCATCTTCTGCTTTCCCAGGCCATCGCAGAGAGCTGGATCGGAAGTGGAGCAGCCGGTCTCAAACCAGCCCCCATATCTTTGCCAGCACTTCAGGCCAGGGCGTTAACCCACTACACTACAGTGCCAGCCCCCTCTCCCTTTTATTTCTAACTACTGCAAGTGTATCTATAATTCACTCCTCAACATTGTACAACCTAGGGGCTGGCTTGAGTCCTGGCTGCCCCACTTCCAATCCAGCTCTCTGCTATGGCCTGGGAAAGCAGTGGAAAATGGCTCAAGTCTTCTGGCCCCTACACCCACGTGGGAGACCTGGATGAAGCCCCTGGCTCCTGGCTTTGGCTTGGACCAGCCCCAGCCATTGCAGCCATTTGGGGAGTGAGCCAGTGGATGGAAGATTTTTCTTTATATAATTCTCCCTTCTTTCTGTAACTCTGACTTTCAAATAAGTAAGTCTTTTTTTAAAAAATGTACAACCTAAAATTTTCTGAGTTCCAAATTATTCAAAAATTTTTTTACCTGTTTCTTTGAAAGGCAGAGCAACAGAGAGAAAGATCTTCCACCCTCTGATTCACTCCCCAAATTCCTGTAACAGCCCATGCTGGGGCAGGCCAAAGCCAGGAGCCAAATCACAGCCTACCACATGGCCTCTTCTACTGCCTTCTCAGCACATTAGCAGGGAGCTGGGAGAGTAGCTGAGACTTGAACCAGCCCTCCCCATGGGATCCTGACAACAGGAGCTGCAGCTGAACCCACTCACCGCAACACCAGACCCGACTTTCTCTCCTTACGTGGCTGCTCAGCAGCCCTAAGGTGTCATCACCACGGTCACGGCACTGAGGACCACCACAGGAGCTCTCAGACGCTCAGTGTCCGCCGCGCGAGGGATACAAAGCCCTGCCCTGCACCAGCACACAGGAGGTGACAGAGCCCTGAACCACGGAAAACCAAAGTCCAGGGCAAAGAAAGCCCTGAGCCAGAGCTCAGAGTCGTCCGCCGCTCAGCCTCATCTCGCGCGATTGAATCACGTGTCCGCTGGACACGGTTAGCTTAACTTCATTCCTCACAGCTGGCACTCCAGAGACGTGGCTCTCTCGTCGTCCTCACCAACTGCAAGGGTGACGTTCCTGGCCTGTGCAGTTAGAGGGTTAACGTGCTCTGAGGCTTCCGGTCTGTCTTCCAAAACAGGAGGCGCCGAAGTTCTGCCCCTGCGGCACAGCCCCTGGTGCCCAGTGCCGAGTGCCTGGCTGCCCACACGCACCCTGTTCACTGTCTGCCCAGCACATCTGCGCATGGGTCGCATCTTGGTCTTTTATTTTGTTAGAGTTTTTATTTATTCATTTACTGGAGAGGCAGAGAGAAAGAAGGAGACAGAAGTCTCTCGAGTGCATATAAGAGACGGCTGGGCCAGGCCGAGGCCAGGCACCTCATCCACGTCTCACGTGTGAGCTCGTCAGCAGGAAGATGGAAGCAGGAGTGGAGCTGAGACTTGAGTCTGGGGGGTGCAGGCACCCCAAGCGGCCTCTGCACGGCTACCCCAGCACCTGCCTCGCTTCTGCATCTTTTTAACCAGGCGTATGATGGTTTGATTTTGGTCTTGTCAGATGCAATAGCTGTAAATGCCTTTCCTCCATGCTACTGTCTTTTTTTCATTTAACTATGTCACTTAGTAGAAATCATAATCGGGAGCCGGCGCCGCGGCTCACTTGGTTAATCCTCCACCTGTGGCGCCGGCATCCCATATGGGCACCAGGTTCTAGTCCCGAGTGCTCCTCTTCCAGTCCTGCTCTCTGCTGTGGCCTGGGAAAGCAGTAGAAGATGGCCCAAGTGCTTGGGCCCCTGCACCCGTGTGGGAGACCTGGTAGAAACTCCTGGCTCCTGGCTTCGGACCGGCGCAGCTCTGGCTGTTGTGGCCAACTGGGGAGTGAACCAGCGGATGGAAGCCCTGTCTTCTACTTCTCTCTCTCCTTCCCTCCTTCCCTCCCCCCTCTCTCTGTGTAACTCTGACTTTCAAATAAATAAATATATCTTTAAAAAAAATGAAGTAAGGCCGGTGCCGCGGCTCAATAGGCTAATCCTCCGCCTAGCGGCGCCAGCACACCAGGTTCTAGTCCCGGTCGGGGCGCTGGATTCTGTCCCGGTTGCCCCTCTTCCAGGCCAGCTCTCTGCTGTGGCCAGGGAGGGCAGTGGAGGATGGCCCAAGTGCTTGGGCCCTGCACCCCATGGGAGACCAGGAAAAGCACCTGGCTCCTGGCTCCTGCCATCGGATCAGCACGGTGTGCCGGCCGCAGCGCGCCGGCCGCGGCGGCCATTGGAGGGTGAACCAACGGCAAAGGAAGACCTTTCTCTCTGTCTCTCTCTCTCACTGTCCACTCTGCCTATCAATATCAAAAAAAAAAAAAAAAAAGTAAAAGAGAGATCTCCTATACACTTGGCACAGTTTTCCCAGTGCTAATATTCTGTCAAACCATTAATGGGAGATTTGAAAAACAGCCTTGCAGAACAATAAAAGTTAGCAGAACACTTAGGGCTTTGGGCCCGATGGTGATGTAAGAGCGGGTGTAAGAAATGTAATTGAGGGGCCGGCACTGTAGCGTAGTGGGCAGTGCGGGCATCCCATGTGAGCGCTGTTTGGAGTCCCAGCTGCTCCACTTCCGATCCAGCTCTCTGTCATGGCCTGGGAAAGCAGTAGAAGATGACCCAGGTCCTTGGGCCCTTGCACTGGCATAGGAGACCCAGAAGAAGCTCCTGGCTCCTGGCTTTGGATCGGCACAGCTTCAGCACTTGCGGCTAATTGGGGAGTGAACCAGTGGATGGAAGACTCACTTTCTCTCTTTCTGCCTCTCCTTCTCTCTCTGTCTAACTCTGACTTTAAAATAAATATCTTAAAAAAAAAAAAAAAGAAGAAATGTAGTTGACAGCTCGGTGGGCTGGAGCATGGGCAGGTGGGCGTGGCCATGAGGATGTGCTCCTGGGAGGAAGCCTAACCTCTCTGTAGGCGTGTCCTGGGCTGCTGAGACAGTGACCACAGACCGGGGGCCTGAAAGCAGCAGCGGCGGTCCTGTCACAGGAGGAGCGGGCAGGACTGCGCCCCGAGTGCTGGAGGATCCTGCCTGCCTCTCCCAGCTTCTGTGGCTGCTGGCTGTCCTCGGCGCTGCTTGGTGAGGCTGCATCTCTCCAGCCACGGCCCGCGTCTTCACGCGGCTCTCCCCACTCTGTCTCTGCGTCAGAATTCTCCCTTTTATACGGACACCGGTGATGTCGCAGCTAGCGCCACCCTCTTCCAGGTTGTGGCCTCATCTGAACGTGGTTGTGCCTATGAAGACACACATCGTGGGGACACCGTTCACCCTCGTGCATGGTCTGCAGCGGCAAGGCTGGGTGTTCTGTGTGTGAAACATGCTAAGGACAGGTTAGGCTCAGAGAGCCCCTGCACGGAGGGTGTGAGCAGCAGCCTAAAGTGCCTGGTCCCTGCGTGTCCCTGTGAGACTCCATCTGGCTTTTTCAGGACCCTTTAGGGTGCCTGGGGTGTGGCCAGCACTCTCAAGGTTGCCGTTGCTGTGGTCCTGGAGCCTGTGTGGCTCGTGGGGCTGAGAGCTGCCTGGCCTGGGGCAGGTGGCCTTCTCAGGGCAGTGCAGCCCACCTGCCTGTGTCACTCTTGGACTTAGGCCTGGAGGGGAATAGATTTCTACCAGGAAATTTTGTAGCAATGGCGCTGGTTATAGAAGATGGTGATGTGCTCGTGGGTACTTGTAAAGCTTCATGGGAAAATGGAATTTAGAAAGTGAACTATTTTGGCAGAAAACAGTTTGCATGCACTCCATGCATGGTTTCTTCATGTTCGTCGTCATGTTTTTATGAACTTGTTTGAAGACCCCTCAGAGTTGCTGGTATTCATCTACATTTATTAGCATAAACACAGACTTTCCAGGGCTTTTCACATCGTAAATATTTAAAAAAGTAAACATTAAAAAAAGAGTGTAATATAGTGAGATGCTCAGTTGCATTTTTATATCGTGTCTATTAGATGAAAGTGTTAATTTTACTTTTCTTAAACATTTGTAGCTAAACCGTTCACACAGCTGGTGAAAGAAATGCAGCTTCATCGAGAAGACTTTGAGATAATTAAAGTGATCGGAAGAGGCGCTTTTGGTGAGGTAAGGTGCATCCCGTTTCTCCCGTGGCTGCCCACTGGTGTCGGGGGAGTTCCTGAACCTTACACTCTGAAAGAGATTGAGAGGAAAAAAAAAACCCTGAACGCTGTGTGGAAAGATATAGTTTCTTAAAAACACAAGTGTTTTTTTTTTTTTATTTTTTATTTTTATTTTTTTTGACAGGCAGAGTGGACAGTGAGAGAGAGAGACAGAGAGAAAGGTCTTCCTTTGCCGTTGGTTCACCCTCCAATGGCCGCCGCGGCCGGCACACCGCGCTGATCCGATGGCAGGAGCCAGGAGCCAGGTGCTTTTCCTGGTCTCCCATGGGGTGCAGGGCCCAAGCACCTGGGCCATCCTCCACTGCACTCCCTGGCCACAGCAGAGAGCTGGCCTGGAAGAGGGGCAACCGGGACAGAATCCGGTGCCCCAACCGGGACTAGAACCTGGTGTGCCGGCGCCGCTAGGCGGAGGATTAGCCTAGAAAAACACAAGTTTTTTAAAACACGTTAACTGAAGAATTGTTGGCGTTTCCTAAAACACGTCGGAGGTTTCAGTGAGGCTGTCGCAGTGTGGAGCGTGCTGCCGGCCTCACGCTGAAGGAGGGTGGGGCTCCGGCTCGGGGAGCTGCATCAGGGCCCTGCCTGGGAGGCGGGGGCGCACGGCGTGGCCTTTCTGCCAAGACCCCGGGCAGCCCACAGCACCCTAAGAGCTTTGCTTTGTAAGCGGTGAAGTGCGTTCACCCCGAGACTCTGCCCAGCCGTGGAGCGTGCGTGCTGTTCGCTGAGGACGACTGGATGCCAGACGCCCGAGTCGCGTCGTGGCGGCTGCTCTGCCCAGCCTCCCCGAAGAGCCACCAGAGTGGTGCATGTGGTTTGGCGATGCCTCTTTGGCCTGGGATACCTCACAGGTAAATACTGAGGAGAACCAGGCCTGGGCTGCTGTGAAAGACATCCTGGTGTCTTCTATGAAGACTGAAACGTCCCTGCTGACGCCTGCCTTACCTGCAGGTCTAACGTAGGTTACACAGGAGAAAGCATTCCTGGGGAAGTGCTTCAAAAATACTCGAATGAGAAACTTCTCTGCCTGCCCGAGCCGGCCTTCATTTCTCCCTTGAAAATTGCCGTGGCCTCAGATTAGACCCCAGCCTGGTTCCGTGTCTCTTGTCCTGTGCTTCTCTTGTCTGGCCCAGCCCTGTCTTTGAGCACCAGCCCTGTGACTGTCTCCAGAGGGGGAGAGGGGAGCAGCTTCCCCCTGGGCCTGGCCTGGCCCGCCATGGACTCAGGACTCCCAGCCAAATTCAGTTTACTTTGGGCTGGGGTGGGACAGAAAATTTAAAATTTTTTAAAAATCCTGAAATATAGTTACATAAAATGCCAGATCTAAGTGTGTAGTTCGAGTTGACAGCTTACCCTCGTAACCCGCACTCCCGTCAATACAGAGTCCCCCAGTCCTCTCTAGGCCTCTCCCTGTGCCAGGCCCTGCCCACTGCCAGATGACAGCTCTGCCACCAGCAAAGAAGTTTCCATAAAAGGAGCCACAGGAAGAATGGAGTCCACACGAAAGAGCCCTCCTGGGGGCACACAGCTCATTCAATTGTGATTCGAGGCTTCTGTGCTGGCGAGAGGAACCAGAAAGCCTTTCAGAGTGGGACCAGATTGCACTGAGGCTGTCTGCTGACAGCCCAACGTCCTTGCATCAGGCCCTGTGCCGGTGTGGCAGCGGCAAGGAGCAAGAGCCAGGGCCATCCAGGGCCCAGTGATAGCCTCACTGACCAGGAGCGGGCTCAGAAGTCAAGGAAGGGCCCACCGGGGGGTGAGACAGCTGTCAGAGCCCAATCTGTGAGGGGTCAGCCCCTGGGAGGCTCCTGCTGCCCAAGACCAGTGTGGGCTTGCCCAGGGCCCTGCCTCTACGGGCCCCTCCTCTGCTTCCCTCCCTGCGTAGCCTGTAGCAACTACCATGGTTGGCTGTTTTTTTTTTTGTTGTTTTTTTTTTTTTAAGATTTTATTTATTTATTTGAAATGTAGAGTGATAGAGAATCTTTTCACTGGTTCACTCCCCAAAAGGCTATAACAGCCAGTGCTGGGCCAGGCTGAAGCCAGGGGCCAGGAACTCCTCTGGGTCTCCCATGTGGGTGGCAGGGGCCGTCACGGCATCTCTGCCAGGCCCTCCTGCAGGGAGATGGATCAGAAGCAGAGCAGCCAGGACTCAGTGAACCTGTGCTCCAATATGGGTGCTGTCACCCATATCGTGCAGGCGATGGGCTAACCACGGTGCCACACCTGCCCCCTTAGCAACTTCTAGATCCCACCCCACCCAGGTCATCCCTTGGTGTCCTCTCTGGGCCCCTGTGGCTGGACTCTGCCCCAGCCCTCCGTATCCAGCTCCTGCTGCTGCCCACTCCTCTTGCTTGCTCCTGTGTCCAGGTTCTCACCAGCCCTCCCTGCCACGTGAGCTAGGCCTTTGGGTTCTGCAGCTGTGTTGCTGTCTCCCCGTGACCCCCACGGGCTGCTGTTGTAGTCACATCCCAGTTCAGTCTTGGTCTCTGAAAACACTGAGCAAATCACAGATGTGAGGGAGGTGTCAGCTCTGGAGACAGGCGTGTTCCTCACACGCGGTCCTGAGTTACTGCTGGACCAGAGGCTGCTGTGTGCACCTGGCACTGTGGCCATGCCAGGCGCTGCCGTGAGCCCTGCTGCAGAGAAGGACCAGGTGCTGAGCCGCTGGCACAGGGACCAGAGGGCACCTCCTGGGCTGCTGTTGCAGTACAGTGGGTTAAGCTGCTGTCTGTGCCAGTGTGACATACAGAGTGCCAGGTGGACTCCTGGCTCCTCTGCTGCTGGTTTGTTTTTTTTTTTTTTTTTTTTAAGATTTATTTATTTGCTTGAAAGGCAGAGTTATGCAGAGGCACAGAGAGAAAGAGACTTCCATCTGCTCGTTCACTCCCCAGATGGCTGCAATGGTCAGAGTTGCACCAGTCCAAAGCCAAGAGCCAGGAGCCTCCTCTGGCTTAGACCTTCTTTTACTGCTTTCCCAGGCCGAAGCAGAGAGCTGGATCGAAGTGGAGCAGCCAGGACTAGCCCCTTGGATCACTTTTTAATGTTGTGTAAAGTTTTTTTTTTTTTTTTTTTTTTTTTTGCTAATTGGCTAATTTTGGAGATAGCTTTAGAATGAAACTAGTTTAGTTTTTAAGTTTTATTTATTTATTTGAAACGTAGAATGACAGATATCTTCATCCATTGGTTCACTTCCCAACTCCGTCTGGGCCTCTCATGTGGGTGGCAGGGCCCCAAGTACTTGAGCCATCATTTGCTGCCTTCCTAGGCACATTAGCAGGCAATTGGATTGAAGTAGAGCAGCCTGAACTTGAACCATGCACTCTGATATGGATGTGGGCATCTCCAGCAGTGGCTTACCTCACTGCCATGATACCCACTCTGATCATCCCCCCGCCCCAAGATTATTTACTTGAAAGGCAGAGTTACAGAGAGAGAGAGAGAGAGAGAGAGAGAGAGAAAGACAAGGGAGAAAGAGAGAGAATCTTTCATCTGTTGGTTCACTTCCTAAGTGGCCACCAATGTTGGGCTGAGCCAGGAGCCTGTAACTCCATTCAGGTCTCTCCCATGTTGGTGGTAGAAACCCAGGTACTTGGGCCATCTTAAAATTTATGTATAGGGGCCTACGCCATGGTGCAGTAGGTTAATCTTCTACCTGCGGTGCCGGCTCCCATAGGGGCACTGGTTCTAGTCCCAGCTGCTTCTCTTCTGATCCAGCTCTCTGCTGTGGCCTGGAAAAGCAGTAGAAGATGGCTCAAGTCCTTGGGCCCACGCACCTGCATGGGAGACCTGGAAGAAGCTCCTGGCTCCTGGGTTCGGATCAGTGCAGCTCTGGCCATTGCAGCCATTGGGGAATGAACCAATGGACAGAAGACCTTTCTCTCTGTCTCTCTCTCTCACTGTCTGTAACTCTACCTCTCAAAAATAAATAAAAAATCTTTAAAAAGGTGCATGTATATATGTATGTATGTATTTAAAAATCAGAATGTGGTGGGAGGGAGGGGATATTTTCTCTCTTGGCTCACTCCCCAGATGGCCGCAACTGCCAGTGCTGGGCCAGGCCGAAGCCAGGAACCAGGAACTTCATCTGGTCTCCCACATGGGTGGCAAGGGTCCAAACACTTGGGCCATCTTTTGCTGCTTTTCCTAGGCCATTGGCAGGGAGCTGGATCAGGAGAGGGATAGCTGGGACTTGAACCGGTGCCCAAGTGGGATGCCAGTGTCTCAGGTGGCAGCCTACCCCTCTGTGCCACAACGCCAGTTCCTTGACCTCTTTTTGAAACCATTACAATTGAGGTTTTGGACAAGAAGAATTCTCTGGTAAGCCAAGCAAGATTTTCTACAAGTTGCTTATAAATTATAAGTTGTTTTGTAATAGAGGAAACTTGTTTAATGCACAGGATTGTTCTCCGTGTTAAATTTTGCTTCCATGCATTCTTGATTTGGCAAGATCTCTGTGGTCACATCCATTCCTCATGGATTTTACCAGAGTCTTTTGCCTGTTTTCTGTGCCCTCAGCGCCCCCTATTTAAGAAATTTTTGAGAAAAATTTCTTTTATTGGGCCGGCACCGTGGCTCACTTGGCTAATCCTCTGCCTTTGGCACCGGAATCCCAAATGGGCGCTGGATTCTGTCCCGGTTGCTTCTCTTCCAGTCCAGCTCTCTGTTGTGGCCTGGGAAGGCAGTGGAGGATGGCCCAAGTCCTTGGGCCCTGCACCCCATGGGAGACCAGGAAAAAGCACCTGGCTTCGGATCGGCATAGCTCCGGCTGTAGTGGCCATTTGAGGGGTAAACCAACGGAAGGAAGACCTTTCTCTCTGTCTCTCCCTCTCACTGTCTATAATTCTACCTGTCAAATAAATAAAAAATCTTTAAAAAAATTTTCTTTTATTTATCTGAAAGGCAGAGTTACAAAGAGAGAGAGACTCCATCCACTGGTTCTCTCCCAAATGGCCACAATGGCCAGGGCTATGCCAGGCCAAACCCAGGTACTAGGAACTCCATTGTGGGTACAGGGACCCAGGCACTTGGGCCATCTGCTGCTGCTTTCCAGGCCATAGCATGGACATGGACCGGAAGTGGAGCAGCCAGGATGTGAGCCCTTGTAGGATGCTGGCATCGCAGGCAGCAGCTTCACCCACTACACCACAGCACTGGCCCCAGTGTTTCCTTAGCAAGTCCCCACCTCTGCCGTCCCTTCCAGTTAGAGCGTTGCTGTAGAAGTACTCTAGCTCCTTGAAATGCTGATACCCACGTACCTGGGTTGTAGTGGCTCTCAGGAGAAGAGTGTGTGCCTCTGAGTCCTCACTCCTGACACATCAGGGAGCACCACTTGTTTCTGATTAATTCAGAATTTCAGCAAGCTCGGCTGTTAGTTTCTGAGACCATAGCACCAAAACAGGACCAGAGGGAAAGTAGGCGCTCCCAGGCCTCTGTGACCCTGGTCACTGTGGACCCCGGCTGTTGCCCAGGGGAGCATACTTAACTACGCTGTCACCGTGGTCACGGTGCGGTCTGCAACAGCACGTGTCTGAAAGGGAGACGCCTGGCTGCTTCATGTGAACACTTTGAGTCTCAAATTCCACACACGTAAAAGAAATGGGTGTTAAAACTCTCTACCACCCAGGACTGACGTGAGCATTAAATGAGGGACGGGGACTGCCTCGTGCTGTCCTTGGTGTGTGGGGAGGGCTCTGGGTGTGTTGGCACCCGCAGTTGCCTTGGCGATGTTACTGGGTGAACCATGATGCTTAGAAAGGCAGGAAGCAGGGACCGGCGCTGTGGCTCAGCGGGTAAAGCCTTCACCTGTGGTGCCGGCATCCCATATGGATACTGGTTCGAGTCCCAGCTGCTCCACTTCCGATCCAGCTCTTTGTGGCCTGGGAAAGCAGTGGAAGATGGCCCAAGTCCTTGGGCCCCTGCACCTGCATGGGAAACTTGGAAGAAGCTCCTGGCTCCTGGCTTCGGATCAGCACAGCTCTTGCTGTTGCGGCCATTTTGGGGGGTGAACTAGCAGGTGGAAGACCTCTCTTTCTGTCTTTTCCTCTCTCTGTCTCTCTCTCTCTCTCTCTGTCTTTCTCTCTCTGCTTCTGCCTTTCAAACTAAATAAATAAACCTAAAAAAAAAAGGCAGGGAGCAGATGCTTCCACTGCTCAGCTCTGTCTGGCGGCTGTGTTCAGGCGACTGCTGACCCTGCCGCTGGCAGCCAGGCGCACTGAAGTCACTTGCAGCAGTGTCAAGGCAGGAATGTGGGCCAGTGCGTGGCTGACAGCTGAGGATCAGACATAACCGTGCGGTGGCGCAGACATCACCATGGGTGTGTGGGTGTTGATAGTGATGGAAGAGCTCTTTCAAGATTTGGCAAAGACCGAAATATCCAGGAGGACTTCCTGGAAGAGGTGGCCTTTCAGTTTTGCCTTAAGTACATGGCTGACAGTCATGCTGAGTGCTGACTGTGCCTAGCTGGTCTGAGGGTGTGAAATGTAATGACTCAGGTGACCAACACCGCAGTCTTGGGAGGCCAGTCCTGCTCTGATCCCCTTTTGGAGTTGTGGAAACTGAGGCTGAAGTCAGTTTGCCAAGTAGAACACCAGAAACTGCTGCCCCTGTGGAAGAAGATTCCAGATGCAGGAGTTGGCACAGGCACAGATTGGCTAGAGTGAGAGCCAGAAATGGGAGGGGGAGCTTAGGTGTGAGGGATCGAAGCTTGGGAGTCATGAACGAATTTTGAAACTATTTTTTTTAAAGATTTATTTATTTATTTGAAAATGAGAGTTACACAGAGAGAAAAGGAGAGGCAGAGAGAGAGGTCTTCCATCCGATGGTTCACTCCCCAATTGGCTGCAACAGCCAGAGCTGCGCCGATCAGGAGCCAGGAGCTTCTTCCAGGTATCCTACGTGGGTGCAGGGACCCAAGGACTTGGGCCATCTCCTACTGCTTTTCCAGGCTATAGCAGAGAGCTGGATCGGAAGAGGAGCAGCCGGGACTAGAACCCGCACCCATATGGGATGCTGGCGCTTCAGGCCAGGGCATTAACCTGCTGTGCCACATTTAAAACTTTTTGTTTTAAATGAGTCTCTCCAGGCAGAGTACAGAGAGCTGCGTGTTCCCATGGCTTGGGGCGAGAGCTGAGCTGAGCTGAGCCAGGAGGCATTCCAGTAGCAGGATGGTTCCATTGAGTTTTGAGGCACAGGAGGACAAAGCTTTGTCCACGTAGAAAGCTGCTCCTTCCTCGACAGCTCTCGGGCAGTTGGTATTGGCTGTAGCTGTGTTACAGGGTCTGTTAACTTTCTGTTAAACTCACATTTGTGTTTTAGGTTGCTGTTGTCAAAATGAAGAACACTGAACGAATTTATGCCATGAAGATCCTCAACAAGTGGGAGATGCTTAAAAGAGCAGAGGTAACTACCCACATGGAACAGGGACAGGCGGCCATCTGTAGAGCAGGGGACAGGCGACTGTCAGCGTGTGGAACGGGGAACAGGCAACCGTCTGTAGAACAGGGGACAGGCGGCCGTCAGTGCGTGGAACAGGGGACAGGCGGCCATCAGAATGGTAGAATGGGACAGGTTACCATGTACACACAGAACGAGACAGGTGGCTGTCTGCACCTAGAACAGGGGACAGGCTTCTGCTGTGACACCGTTCCCTGTGGGAGGTAGTCTCACGGGAACTGCTTGTCCCTTTGTGTCAGAATGTCCTCAGCGGGCTGCGGGTCCCCTCCCCGCATGTGATAATTAGTAGAATTGAGGCACATCTACCTCAGTCATTTTCTTTTTAAGATTTTATTTATTTATTTGAGAGGTAGAATTACAGACAGAGAGAGGCAGAGAGAAAGGTCTTCCATCACTGGTTCACTCCCCAAATGGCTGCAACGGCCGGAGCATCCGAAGCCAGGAGCCAGGAGCTTCTCCGGGTCTCCCGTGAGGGTGCAGGGCCCAAGCACTTGGGCCATCTTCTACTGCTATCCCAGGCCACAGCAGGGAGCTGGATCAGAAGAGGAGCAGCGGGGACTAGAACTGGTGCCCATGTGGGATGCCAGCCCTGCAGGCAGAGGACTACCTACTGCGCCACAGCACCAGCCCCAGTCATTTCATTGTGAAAGACAGACTTAGAAAGTTTTAGAATGAAAAAGGCCACCGAGACTGGTGAGAGAGCTGCTAAAACCCTCGCCCTGAAAGTGCTTTGATTTTTGTTAAGCTTTATAAGCTTTAGATGGAAGAATGAGTTTAAATCTTAGTATGTTGTATGCTCAGTAGAGAAGAAACTGTTACAGTTAAGCCAGAGACTGGTTACTTGCAGAGATGCCAGGCTGCCAGGCAGCGTCGCAGCCTCGCCCCTACGCCACTGGCCGTCCATAATGGGTGACAGCCCTCACCAGTGTGCGGGAGGAAGTCACAGTTCTGGGACGTAACGGACTCGGGTCGCTAACCAGATGTGTGTGCTTTCGGCAATGGTGTGAGACAGGGCGCACCCCACAGGCAGCTGCAGGAGCTGGTGTGGCCCTGGGCTGGAGGAGTCCATGTGCAGGGTGGGCGGCTCTGGAGAAGCGGCGGGGCGAGAGGCTGCGTGCCTTCTCTGGCCCGTGACACCGTCCAGGCCAGCACCCTGGGACTGCAGGGGGCATCCAGGGCCAGGGTCCCTTTGGCCCAGGGGAGATGAAGACCAGGCTCCGTGCAGCCTGGGGAGCTGGTGATGCTGTCCCTGGAGCTGTGTCACAGCAGAGCCCCCCCAGTGCTGGGGATTTCCGGGTGAACACGGGCTGACCGTCCCCTCGCCCTTGCAGACCGCTTGTTTCCGAGAGGAGCGGGACGTGCTGGTGAACGGCGACTGCCAGTGGATCACCACGCTGCACTACGCTTTTCAGGACGAGAACTACCTGGTAGGCACCGGTGCTGGGGGCCGAGGGGCCTGGGGCGCTGGGGGCCGGGTCCGGGAGGGTTCAGTATTTGCACTGCTCTGTGCTGTCACTGCAGAGTGAGCTTGAGAAAGCCTTGGGTGAGTAAGTGAGTTCCCTCTGATCTCTGGGTTTGTTACGTTTGGGTGACGTTTCCTGTCCTCAATCCCACAGAAGGCTAAGAAACTGCCGCGGGAACTTGAAGGCCCCGGCTCTGGCCCCATGGGCATCCCTCCCTCTGCCTGGTGGGTCGCCAGCAGGGCCCCTGCGCCAGCCTGCAGGCCTCGTCACTCAGGCTGGGTAATGCTTGTTTCTGGCTCGTCATCTGTTTATTCTTCGGAGTGAGCTGGGCCCACTTCTTTTTATATAAAGGGATTCTTACACTTTTTTTAATATATAAGATTTGTTTATTTTGAAAGTCAGAATTACAGAGAGAAGGAGAGACAGAAAGAGGTCCTCCATCTGCTGATCTACTCAGCAGATGGCTGTAGTGGCCAGTGCTGGGCCAGGCCCAAGCCGGAAGCCTCATCTGGGTCTCCCGTGTGGGCAGCAGGAGCCGAGACCCTTGTGTTAAGCCACTGCCTGTGCTGCTGGCATCCTGTGAGGACCAGTTCAAGTTGCAGCGGTTCCACTTCCGATTCAGCTCTGGGCTAATGGCCCCAGTGCTTGGGTCCCTGCACCCATGCGGGAGACACAGATGCAGCTCCTGGCTCCTGGCTTTGGCCCAGTCCAGCCCTGGCCCTGGTTGGTTCCCCAACCAGTGGATGAAAATTTTCTCTGTGTGTCTCTCTCTGACTCTTCCTTTCAAATAAATAAAGAAATATTAAAAAAAAAAATACGGTATACAAGGGGCTTCAAAAAGTTCATGGAAATGCTGATTTTTAATTTTTTTTAAAAGATTGATTTATTCAACAGTCAACAAGCAGAACAACAGAGAGGAGCAGGTGGGGGCAGGGGAGAAAGAGTAGGCTTCCGTTTACCGGTTCACTCCTCCTATGCCATATGCCTGGGGGTCAGGCCCAAGCCAGGAGCCAGGAATTCAATCTGGGTCTCCCATGTGAGTACTTGGGCGGCCTCCCAGGTGCATTATCGGGGGCTGGAATCAGGGTCAGGGTGGAGACTGGAACCCAGGCTCTCTGGTAGGGAAGGCACACGTCTCAACACCGTGGCCTCTTGCCGGTGCCTGCTTCCCGTTTCCTCTTCTGCTGAGAAGTGAGCGGGGTTGGCAAGGAACTCCAGGCAGTGTGGGTCTGCACAGAGGACGATTGTGGCTTCTGTGTTGTTTCTATGAGTAGCATGCTGCTTCCTGAGACGTTGGACGTCACCAGGTTTATCCTGAGCTGAGAGGCGTCAGTTAGGACTCCTGGTGAGAGTCGTGGCATTGCCCGTTGGAAGGGCGGTGCGTGTGGCTGGGCTTGGGTGGGCATCGGTGCCCTCAGCACGCAGAGCTGGGTCATGGTGTGGTTCCTGCTGTCGGTGTCCAGCTCTGCATGTTGTAGAAAGTCAGCCTGTTTTTCCACTGCGTGTGTCATGGAACAGGGGAAATAACTGGTCTTGTTCTTACTCCAAAAATAAGTTTGTGCTTCTCTGCCTCCTAAGCCATGGCCGTCGACTCTTAGAGACTTGTTTTTCAGAAGACCACCCCCCGGATTAGCACTGCTGTGTAGGCTTATTTGTCTTTGCAGGTTTCTAGGCAGATGTGAAAACCATGGGGGCCCAGCTCGCTGTGGTGCCCGACTTGCTGCTTTAGGGACCTGAGGTCTTGGCTGCTACTCCCGCTGCTCTCCCTCACCCCCACACACCCGTCCGCTGCTCTCCCTCACCCCCACACGCCCGTCCGCTGCTCTCCTGCCCCACAGTGCCTCCAGGATCCATCCTGTGTCCTCCCTCTCCACTGCCCTCTGCACACGGCACCCACACAGGGCCCTCTCTGCTCCCCGCCAGGCACGGCCACCATTTCCACCTGCCCCTGGCCTCTCTGCACTTCCCTTTGGAGCACAGCCTGGCCGCCCCCCAGGCCCTTGCTTGGGCGTCCACCAGCTGGGTGCTCCGTGCTTGGCCATTCCCCGGGCCTGCTGTTTCCATGGCTTTTCTCGCTCTCTGGCCTTTTCTACTAACTGAGCTCCGAGGAGCAGGAGGTTCCAAGGGGGTGACTGTGGTGAGAGTGAGCCAAGGAGGCAGGGGCCAGCTGGCCAGGCCACCCTCTACCGTTTAGTGTGTCAGGAGGCAGGCGAGGTGCGGGAGAGGCAGCGTCCTGGTCCCTGTGGGCGCCTGCCCCGCCCTCGTGGGAAGAGCTGGCAAGGAGGGAGGCCGTAAGCTGCCCTCTGCTGAGGGGCTGCGTTCGGGGACGGTCTTGGGAGATCTGTCTGAGAACAGCCCGGAGCCCGCCTCTCCCACACAGGCCCCACAGCGGGCGGTTGGTTGGGACGTGCTGAGCAGGATGTTACCTGAATGCCAGCGGGGGCCTGCACAGCACCTGAGGAGTGGGAAGAGGGCAGCTCATGTGCTTGAGGGCCCAGCACAGGCTGGTGACACCGAGCAGTGGCCCTTAATGAGTTGAAAGGACCAGGACGTGGCATTCCCTGCCTGTGAACGAAGGCTAGCTGGGCAGCCAGAGGAGATGGCTCGGGGCGGCGCTGGCAGCTCCCCACACCTGGGCTCCAGGGAAGCCCCATGACCCTGGCCGCCACCCTGACCTGGGCTTCTGGCTCCTGGAGGTGTGCCCGCCAGGACTTCTGAGCCCTCAGCTTCAGGGCCTGACTCACATTTGGTTTTGTTTTTAATTTTATTTATTTGAGAGGCCAAGCTCCTGTCTGCTGGTTCACTGCCTAAATGCCTACAGAGGCCAGGACTTGACTGAGGGCAAAGCCAGGAGCAAGGAGCTCTGTCTAGGTCTCCCATAGGGTGACAGGGACCCAAGTACACGAGCTCACTGCTGCATCCCCACGTCCACACCCGCAGGGAACTGGAACTGGAACGGAATCAAACCCAGGTTCTCTGGGTCCTAACTGGCATCTGAACCGCAAGGCCCGAGGCCCACCCTAGCTTGAGCCTTCTGAGAAGCAGGGTGTCAGGTGGGCCTCCGTGTGGGCTCACGTGGGGCCTGCAGCGCCTGCCCCTGGCCGGCCTGTGGTGCTGTGGTGAGTGAGCTCCTGTAAGGCGGGGCGAAGCCCTGTGAGCAGCTGGCTCTTCTCCCGTTGCTCTGACTTCTCGTTAGGCAACAGCTTCTGTGATTTGTCCATAGGAGGGAACCCGCGAGTGGTCATCCTTCGGTCCTGGGTGGCAGCATCTCGCCAGGAGGAGCTGCTGATGCACCAGTGGTTTTGGGTCACTCTGCTGCCGCGCCCCGAGGGCCTGCAGACATATGTCCGCCCAGCAGGGCTAGCTTGACGGGCAGAACTGGGCTCTGCTTTGGATCGTCCGCGTCAGAACGCTGCCTGCAGCCTCACACCTTGCACCCATTTCCGCTTCCTTCATGTCTTCTCTGCCCTGTGCATAACTTAACATTGCAGCTGCATTGCAGGGAGTTTGTGTTCCGAGAGGAGGAATCCTGCGAGACCAGGAGCCACGGAGCCCCTGGGGGAGGTGTGGCCTCGCTGTGGGCTCCCTGGTGACAGCCGCGTCTTCTCTTCTCACCCGACCCTGCAGTACTTGGTCATGGATTACTACGTGGGGGGCGATCTGCTGACCCTGCTCAGCAAGTTTGAGGACAAGCTTCCGGAGGACATGGCGAGGTTCTACATCGGTGAGATGGTGCTGGCCATCGACTCCATCCACCAGCTCCATTACGTGCACAGGTAAGCACACCTGCGAGCGCCCCAGGCCAGGGCTCCCCAGGAAGCCACTCTGAGCCCCCTGGAGCAGCTGCCACACGGGGTGATTCACCCCAGCCTCTTTGGACCCCAGCGTCTGTCGGTCTAACTGTTCTGTCTAACTCCGGCAGCGGAAGCCACCTTGACCTCTGACCTTTATGTGACAGTGGCTCTGCTTCCCCGCCTGTATCCCCTCCCCAAAATGCCTGCCATCCCCGTGCCTCGTGTTGGATCCCCACTGTGTCTCCATCGTCTCTGCCCTGTTCTTCAGTCTGTCCTGTGACCCCACGAGAGCCTGCAGTCCTGAACCCGCGGAGCACTCGGAAGGGTGTTGGGGTCAGCAGCAGGGGGGACTTGGCTCGGTGCCTGTCCCCTCTGCAGGGAGGCAGCTCCGTAAGTCCCAGCTGCCGTGACTTTTACATGGATCTCATTCTGAGACTCCAAGGTTCAGTCCTGGAGTTGGTTTTATTTTTGTTTTTATAAAGTTTCATTTTTCCCTTTTTTAAAGATTTATTTTATTTATTTGAAAGACAGAGTTACAGAGAAAGGTAGAGACAGAGAGATTCCATCCGCTGGTTCACTCCCCAGATGGCTGCAATGGCCAGAGCTGTGCTGACTAGGAGCCAGGCGCTTCCTCCAGATCTCCCACGCGGGTGCAGGGCCCAAGCACTTAGGCCATCCTCCACTGCCTTCCCAGGCCACAGCAGAGAATGCGGTTGGAAGGGGAGCAGCAGGACTCGAACCAGCACCCCTAAGGGATGCCAGCACTGCAAGCTGTGGCTTTACCTGCTACGCCACAGCACCGGTCCTGAGTTTCATTTTTTTTGAAGTGATTTTATGGTAATAGTTCTTAAAAGTCAAGTAGTTCTATAGAGCTTCTAACAAAAAAGGAGCCACCCTGCCCGTCCCATCATGGTCCCCTTGCTGCAGTCACGGTGTGGACTTGTTCCTCCCCAGTCCCTTCATTTCCTGAATAACAGCCTGGCCTGCCCCTTCTGTTGGTGTTAAATGACATTGATTAAAATGGGGTTTAGCTCTCATGCATAAATCTCTCTCCCCCTCTCCCACATGGTCTCAATTAGTAAAATAGCAACTTCTGTTAAATCGGTATTTTGTGTTTATAATATAATGATTGCATAAATATTAAAACTGAGCATTGTAGTATATGATACAAGTTTTTCTTTCCTTTGAAGTTAATAATATTCTTGCTTTTCATGATCATCCTTTTCTGTGTAACCATTGCTAATTATCCCTAAATATCAGGGACAAATTACCCAGCTCCCAGCCCAGGCCTCCCAGGCGGCTGTGGTCTGAGTTCCCCCATCAGCCTCGGTGGCTCTTGGCCTCACCGTGCCGTGCCCATCCCGAGACTGTTTGCCGGGAGAGAGTCCTCCTTTCTGGGCCTGGATCCTTGTTTTCTGAGTCATCTTCCCTTCTCTGGCTTATTTCCTTTTTGGGTAGCACACCTCGTCAGTGGCCTCTGGAAAAGGGGTGTGAGGTCATTTTTTGGACATCTTCTGTTCCTTCCACCCACGACTGTGATGGTCATCCACAGAGTGGAGCTTGGGGTGTAGATTCCAGGGCTGCTGCCCCAGGGACACACCGCCGCTTTGCGAGCTGTGAGGTTCCAGGCAGTGCCCTTCTGTCAGTGTGGCCTCTGTGTAGCGGAACCACTTCCTGTGGTTCCGGAACTCAGGTTTCCTGCTCTGTCTTCTTGACGAGGCATCCCCCGACACACAGCCCAAGGTCCAGGGGCGTCAGCCTGACCGCTCTGCTGGTCGTTCACACCTCTGTCTCCAAGGCGAATGCTTCCTCTTGGTTTGCATTGTTGGCTGGACCTCCAGACGCAAAGACTTGAAAATACGGAGCTCTTATCCCCCGCCCTCAGACCCGGTGCCTAGACAACCCAGTCTAAAAAGAGAACAAAGTTAGATTGTGTGGGCAGCCCAGCTACAGGAGCCTTGGAGGGGTGCTGTGAGGGGCTGGAGGCTGCTCCAGCAGGGCCGCACCCCTTCCCGGGTTGCCTTTGTGTTGTGATTGTGGATGGTACCCTCTGTGCCCCCAGCTCTGCCTGGTGTGGGCAGCGGGGACCCCAGGAAGGACAGCTCACCAGGAGAGCCTTGCAGCCAAAAGCAGGACGGGGCACTGGGTCTCCGCAGAGGCCCAGGTGTGCTGCCCGGATGAAGCAAGAATGGGATACAAACCTAAGGAAAGGAAAGGATCTCAGAAAACAGAGATGCGGGAGAATAACTTGCCAAGAAGGCAGAAGATGTAGAAGAAATCCGAGCAAGGCAGGAGCTGGAGAGTGAAGCTGAGGGGTCCGAGGGGCTCGGGAGCCACCCCCGCCGCGTGAGAGCACTCCCTTTGTCGGTCAGCAGGAAGCGGCTCCCTGCGGACCAAGACCAGCCTCCCTTCTCAGCAGACCAGAAAGAGGGGGTGGGAAAAGCCAAGCCAAGGCAGCGGCCCCTCCGCCCAGCCTCTCTTAACCGGAGTCACAGCAGCCCAAAGAAGGGCAGTTGGGGGCAGCTTCTCAGCAGACGCCACTGCTGGCCCCCACATCCCCCTCCTCTTGCCCCTACCTCAGCCCCCATAGCTCTCCTTCCTGCTGCAGCTGGGACTTTAGCAAGCACAGGCAGGGTCACTGTTTGTGAGTTTGGGGAGATAACTGGTGCTTGGTGCTTACCCAGATGTCATGGCGGACAAGTAAGTTTTCAGAGAGGAGCTGTGGCTGATTTGAGTTTGGTTATACTGACCTGACTTAACTGCTATTCTGAGAAGGGCTGAGACCGCTAGCCATGGCAGTTATCCTAGAATCTGTGTGTGACGGGGCATGGAGGAGTGTGTGAGATCGGTAATGCATTCATTGGCAGCCAGCAGCCGTGTGAGAAGCCCCGCACTGCTCCCGGTCCCTGCCCCTGCCCCTGCCCCTGCCCCTGCCCCTGCCCCTGCCCCCGCCCCTGCCCCCGTCCCCGCCCCCCATGGTCATTGGAGCTTTTCTGCAGTGGTGGATTGCTCAGTAGTCCGTGCTGTGCCGTCCACGGCCGCCATCCACGTGTGGCTACTGAATACTCAAAATGTGGCTGTGCAGCTAAGAACGGAATTCTTCATTTTATTTAGCTTAACTTAAACCTCAATAGCCATGGTGGCTAGGGGCTGCCGTAAATCGTCTTGGCCTGTTTTAAAATATTATATTCTTATTTAAATATTATGACTAAGATATCAGAATTATTAAAATATTTACTTATAATTTTCTTAATTTAGAGAGGGAGTGTGAGTGCAGACCTAGCTCCCAGCCTCTGGTTGCTCCCTGAATGCCCACAACAGCTGAGCTAGGCTGGGGCTGAAGCTGGGAGCCGAACTCAGTCCAGGTCTCCCATGGGGGTGGCAGGGTCCCAGCCCCTGGAGTCAGGAACTGGAGCTGAGTGTCGGCTCTGATGTTGGATGCAGGAGTCTTAAATGAGGTGCTAGTTATTAGACCAGATGCTTGTCTACTCTCAAAAGGGCTGACTTGAGATTTACACAGATTGCAAGAACAGTACGCAGGACACCCACCTAGCGTCTCCCAGGTGCACCTGATGTGAATGTTGCCCTCCTGTACACACACAGACACACAGCGTGTGCGGTTTTCTCTTCACTTGTGTGCTGGGTGTTCCTGTGCGTGGGCCGCGTGACTTTTGGAGACTGGATGCCCCGGGAGGGTTTGTTCCTGTTCCTTCCTGAGTTCAGGTTTTGTCCAGTAACCCAGGGGCGTCTTTTTGGAGAGTGCAGTCTGGGGTCACATGTTGCGTTTCCGTGTCTTGTCTTCTTAATCTCTTCTTCCTCTGTGTTTGTGATGCTGGAGGAGACGCCTGGCAGCTGTGGTGCGGGTTTCCCTCCTGTGCAGAGCCCCTGTCTCGCCTGCTGTGCTCTGGCCTTGCAGCAGAGTGTGCAGACTTCGGAGTTTCTGTCTTCTGGTGGATGAGAGAAGTAGAAAAAATACTTTTTCACCTTTCCTAAACACTTGAACATAATTTTTATTTTTTTAAGATTTATTTTTATTTGAAAGGCAGAGCAACAGAAGGCTAGGAGAAACGGGTGGAGGGAAGGGAAGTGGAGAAAGACAGATGCACAGACTCAGAAAGACGAATCTGCCAGCTGTTGGTTCACTCCCCAAATGACCGAGACAGCCAGGTCTGGGGCAAGGCTAAAGTCAGGAGCTAGGAGCTCCATCTGGGTCTCCCACCCGGGTGGCAGAAGCTCAAGCACTTGGGCCATCTTCTGCCTCCCAGGTACATGTGCAGGGCGCTGGATCAGAAGCCGCGTAGCTGGGACTCAAACTAGGGCTCTGGTATGGGATCCTGGTGTCACAGGCTGTGGTTTAACCCGCTAAGCCACAACACTGGCCCTGTTTTCATATGTTTGTGTGTGGGTGTGCTGTATGAGATGTTTATTTCATGGTTTTACCATGTGTCTATCCCTTCTTCCCTTTAATTGTTAAAAAGTATTTGTCTCATCCACTGGTTCACTCCCCAGGCACCTGCGACAGCTGGGGCTGGATCAGGCTTAGGCTGAGTCTCCTGGTGGTAGCGGTGGTGGCAGGGGCGACAGCTGGGGCCGGATCAGGCTTAGGCTGAGTCTCCCGGTGGCGGCAGGGGCCCACGTTCTTGAGCCCATGAGCGACACGAAAGCACAGGCACTGCGTGTGTGGGCTCAGTGCAGGAGCTCGCGAGCCCCCCCACCCCCCCACCCCCAGGCTCCACTCGGAAGGACGTGCTAGCTCGTAGACAGAACAGCCCAGCCACTTGGAGAAGCTGGGCGACAAAGACGTGTCGCTCCCCCTCTTTGTGGAGGAACGACACAGGACCCTGCGCTGTTCTTTTGTCTGCTCGGCCCTCCCCGGGTTTGCTGCTGGTTCTTCCCGGGTTGGCTACCATCCCTTCCACCTCCGTGGAAGGGCGGTTCCCCCTAGCCACTTTCCCCACTTCCGCGGGGGAGCGGCACACCGCCGGCCGGCTCTCGGGGGCTGCACAGGTGTTCCTTCAGATAGATGTTCCCGGTGCATGTTGTCTCTCTCCTCCTTTATAGTCCTCTTCCACCAATCCCAACTCTGCTACCCACACGCCGAGTATGCTGCTCTCCTCCAATCAGGAGTAGGTCCTGCTGTTTATTGGTTGAACTGGAGGCAGCTGTGTAGAAGCTGCTTCTCCCTTCTCAGCGCCATATTGTGGGAGAGCAGATGCATAAAATAAGTCTTAATTCCAGTAACTTAGTCTAGTCCGAGTTGCTCTTCACAGATCCCCCTTTCTTTTTATTTTTGGCGTTGATACGTGCCTGTCTTCGGTGCCCTGCGGCACACACTCTGCTCTGCTTGCTAGAGTTGCCCACAGGTGCTTACAAGCCCTACCAATCAGGCAAACCGAATCCGGGTCCTCTCTTCGCCATGTTGCGAGGAGGTTTTTAGGCGCTGATGCGTGCCTGTGTTCGGTGCCCTGCAGCGCATGCTCTGCTCTGCTAGAACTGCCTGCAGGTGCTTACAAGCCCTAACAATCAGGCAAACCGAATCCAAGCCTTCTCATTGCCGTATTGTAGGGAGACTTATTGGTGTTGATTCGTGCCTATCTTCGGTGACCTGCAGCTCATACTCTGGTCAAGCTGCCTGCTGGTGCTTATCGCCTTACTAATCAGGCAGACCGAATCCAAGCCTTCTCATTGCGGTATTGTGGGCAGACTTATTGATGTTAATTTGTGCCTGTCTTCGGTGACCTGCGGTGCATAAGCTGCTAGCCGCCCACAGGTGCTCACCACCTCCCTAATCAGGCAGACCAAATCCAAGCTCTCTCATTGCCATGTTGAGGGGAGGCCCTATTTTTCTCTATTTCTCCATCTCCGGGCATTCCTATCTCTCCCATTTTACTTCTATCTGCCAGCATTCCTATTTCTCTCATTTTACTTCTAAATTTCTGTTTCTCTTATCCCTGCGGCTTCCCGGCACCCGCCCCGAGGCTGCTTCTCGGCGGCTTCCTGGCTCTGAGCCGCTTCAGCCCGCGCTTTTCATCTGCGCGGCTTCACGCGCTCTCCGCGGTCTCCACGCCCTTCGCGTCCACACCACGGCCTCGCGCTAGCCCAACGTTCCCTATCTACTTGTGCCCCGCACGCTCTCTCTGCACGCGGCAGCCTCCGCGAGTCACACAGCCCCAGCTCACGTTTCCGCCACTGGTATTCAATCTAAGTTCCCCGGGCTAACCTGGCGAATTCAACCTATAGCTTACATTTCCGCCTTACGGTTTGGCTTCCCGTCTTTTGCTCCCCGGGCTAATCTAACGGATTCCAACCTGGCCCACGTTTCCGCCTCTGGTTTAACTTTTCACCTTTTGTTCCCCGGGCTGACTTGAAGAATTCCAACATAGCTTACGTTTTCGCCTCGGCCTGCCCCCGCAGCTTCAATTTCCCTAACATTTTTCTCTACCCGGTATGTTTCCCTAAGTTTTCTTCCAACAATATTCCTCCCTCATTTCTCCTGGCTTCTCCCCACAGTCCGTATCCGAGTCTGTTTGTTCTAGCTTTCACTTTCGACCTTAGAGATTTCTCCCAGCTTCCCCCCGTAGTCCGTATCTGAGTCTATGCCTAGGCTTTTGATAGCTTCTTCCGGCACCTTTTCCGTCCGGCTTTTCCCTAGGCTCTTTGCTAGTCTCTCTCTCCGGTATTTTCCCACTTCTTCCCGTTTCTTCCCTCCTAAGTTTCCTATCCGAGTCACAGCACCATTATGTCGCTCCCCCTCTTCGTGGAGGAACGACACAGGACCCTGCGCTGTTCTTTTGTCTGCTCGGCCCTCCCCGGGTTTGCTGCTGGTTCTTCCCGGGTTGGCTACCATCCCTTCCACCTCCGTGGAAGGGCGGTTCCCCCTAGCCACTTTCCCCACTTCCGCGGGGGAGCGGCACACCGCCGGCCGGCTCTCGGGGGCTGCACAGGTGTTCCTTCAGATAGATGTTCCCGGTGCATGTTGTCTCTCTCCTCCTTTATAGTCCTCTTCCACCAATCCCAACTCTGCTACCCACACGCTGAGTACGCTGCTCTCCTCCAATCAGGAGCAGGTCCTACAGTTTATTGGTTGAACTGGAGGCAGCTGTGTAGAAGCTGTTTTCTCCTGTCCCAGCGCCATATTGTGGGAGAGCAGATGCATAGAATAAGTCTTAATTCCAGTAACTTAGTCTAGTCCGGGTTGCTCCCCACAAGACGGTATTTCAAATCGCCGAGGAAAGAACGACACAAAGTCAGCCCCGTGACGACCAGAAAGCCATTTAGTTACGAGACAGAATCTGAGGGGCCCTCTCAGTCTATACGTTCAGCTCCTTTGTTTATTTCTGGAAAGTTCTTTTAGATTACAGTTTCCAATTTTTTAAAAAGATTTATTTATTTTTTTGAAGAGTTATAGAGAGAGATCTTTCATACTCTGATTCACTCCTACAGCAAATGGCTGCATTGGCCAGGGCTGGGCCAAGCCAGAGCCAGGAGCCAGGAGCTTCCTCCAGGTCTCCCACAAGGGTGTAGGGGCCCAAGCACTTGGACCATCTTCTAGTCTTCTTGCCAGAGCATTAGCAGGAGCAGGATTGGAAGTGGAGCAGCCGAGATTTGAACTGGTGCCCACGTGGGATGCTGGCACTGCAGGCGGCGGCCTCACCTACCACGTCAGCCCCCGTTTTTGTTGTTTTCCTCAGGGACTCCAGTTAAGTGTGTGTTGGGCCATTTTTCCCATCCTCCCTTTCAGTCTCCTGCCGTTCGCTCATGCTTGTTGCTTCCCCGTTTCTTTGCCTTTCATTTGACTTTTCTCTGAATTTATCTTCCTTTGAGGATCTTATGATTTAGTCTTCGTTTCCGATAAGATTTTTTCCTGCTATTCCTTCCCTGAGTTAAATCAGCTGTTTCTGTTTTCTTCCTGCTTCTGTCCAGTTCTTTTTAAAAAAGTTCATTGTGGAATTTTGTTTTGTTTTGTTTTGTTTGCGTGTTTTTGAAGGCTTTCATTTCAGGGTGAAGAGCTGTGCTCCAGTTTTCTTTTGCCCATGGATTTTTTTTTTTTTTTTAAATCAGCATTCACATTGATACCTTTGATTCTTTTTTAAAGATTTATTTTATTTATTTGAAAGGCAGAGTTACAGAGAAAGGGGGACAGAGAGAGAGAGAGAGAGAGAGAGAGAGAGAGAGAATGCTTCCATCCTCTGGTTCACTCCCCAAATGGCCACAATGGCAAAACCAGGAACTTCTGGGTCTCCCAGCTGTGCCGTCTTCCACTGCTTTCCCAGGTGCATTAGCAGGAGCAGGATTGGAAGTGAGCAGCTGAGACTCGAACCAGCGCCCATGTTGGGCTGGGGCATGACAGGCTGTGGCTTTACCCTGCTGCGCCGCAGCACCTGCCCGGGCCTGTGGGTTTGTTTCTGGCAGGAGCTGTTGCCCCCTCCCATTCGTGTTGGGAACACTTGGTCGGCCTGTTGTTCCCTGTGAGGCTCCGTGCCCCTCGTCCTGCAGGTGGGTGTCGAGGTGGCTGCTGCTCTGGCCAGTTGTAAGCAGCTGCTGACAGCACACTTGTGCTGGTCTTGTACTGGATGTCTTCTTTTGCCTTCACTTTTACATTTTATTTGTTTCTTTATCTGAGAGACAGAGAAACACAGAGAGAGAGAGAGGGAGAGAGCAAGCGAGTACTCAGTCCCATTCGCAGGTTCATGCCCCCGATGCCCACGACAGCCGGGAGTCTGAAGTTTGGAGCTGCGAGGATGTCAGGAACCCGGTTACTTGAGCCATCGACTGCTGCCTCCCAGGATCTTCATTAGCAGGAAGCTTGAGCCAGGAGCTGAGCCGGGACTGGAACCCAGGCACTTGGACGCCGGACACAGGACACAGGACACAGGTGTCCTGACAGAGCCTAATCACTGGGCCAGATGCCCACTCGTGCCTTTCGGGTTTACTCTGGGGCAGGCATTGTAGTGTGGGGAGCTAAGCTGCTGCCTGCAACGTCAGCACCCCGTATCTGAGTGCCAGTTCGTGTCCCGGCTGCTCCACGTCTGATCCAAGTCCCTCTGATTGTGCCTGGGGAAGCGGCAGAGGATGGCCCAACTAGTTGTCTCTGTCACACACACACACACACAGCCCGTCCCACCCTTAGAAGAGGCCCAGATGCACCTACAGGCTCCTAGCTTTGGCCTGGCCCAGCTCAGGCCCTCGTAGCCATATGGGGAGAGAACCAGCAGATGGACAACTCTCTCTCTCTGTCTCTGTCTCTAATTCTGCATTTCAAATAAATAAATAATCTTCTCTTTTTTGATAAGTTTTCTCCCTTCCATACTGTTCAATCAGTTTTTGAGGCCCAGGCCCCGATGTCTGTGCCCCACCACACGGGTTAGGAAGGACGCGGATGGGTAGTCAGGAACTCGCACTCTGAACAGCACAGCTCGCTCCACGCCTGTAGGTCAGCTGGCGTCAGGTTGGCTCCTGGCCCCTGCCCAGCTCCGCTCCACGCCTGTAGGTCAGCTGGCGTCAGGTTGGCTCCTGGCCCCTGCCCCGCCCAGCGCCCTCTTCCACAGAGGCCCCCGCCCCGCTGCTCCTCGTTCCTTACCTCGGCTTGTCTCCTTCCTGGGGCTCCCCACAGCTTGCACCGTGCCCTGCTGTGCAAGTGGAGAGGCCCAGATCCTGCGTTAGCTGGGTTGGAGTGAGACTGCCGCCCCTGGGGACAGACTGCGCAGGTGGTCACGTGGCTGTCACAGCCAGCGCCCAGCCCACTCTCCCCTGGCCGGGGACTTGAGCGCCTCGTGTGTGGCCCGGAGACAGCTCATTTGTGCGTGTGTTTTGTGACAGGGACATCAAGCCTGACAACGTACTTTTGGACGTGAACGGCCACATCCGCCTGGCCGACTTCGGGTCGTGCTTGAAGATGAGCGACGATGGAACTGTAGGTTCTGTGGGCTCTGTTTGTTGTGGGTCTGCCTTGTGGTCAGAAAGGGCTTTGCACTGAATTTGAGTTACAATTGAGAAGCCAAGTTTATTAGTGTGATTAAGAAATGAGTCCTCTTACAAACATTTTTACTGTTTTTTATGTTCAGAAAAGTCACATGGGTGCCTTTTAAAATGGGGAGTTTTCCGGCTTCCCCAAACCCTGAAGCATGAGGGCGGCTCCCACCCCGTACGTGCCCTGTCCAGGTGGTCAGGTGGGCGGCCCCGCTGTCGGCCCTGGGTTCCTGGTCAGGTGGGCGGCCCCGCTGTCGGCCCTGGGTTCCTGGTCAGGTGGGCGGCCCCGCTGTCGGCCCTGGGTTCCTGGTCAGGTGGGCGGCCCCGCTGTCGGCCCTGGGTTCCTGGTCAGGTGGGCGGCCCCGCTGTCGGCCCTGGGTTCCTGGCAGGTGGGCGGCCCCGCTGTCGGCCCTGGGTTCCTGGTTTTGTTGACAGGTATTTCCTGTGGGCAGGCGCCTTCCTCTGAGGGTTTTGTGGACCCAGGCATGGGGGTCCCTGGTGCTTGGAGCCTTGCAGGGGCAGCTGGTGTCCCCACTGCTGATGAGGGTGCTGGCCCTGCCCCAGCTGTGCACAGGGGCCCAGACTTAGGCCTCTGTTCCATGGAGCCACCACCCCGTGGCGTGACCAGCCGTGTCCATCCACACTGCCCAGTCTGGCGCAGCAGTTGCTTCCAGTGTGCCTTTTACTGCCCTGGGGACTTTGGTCCAGGTCGCCCCCTGTGGCTGTGGTTGAGGCTCTGTTCTTAGATGTTTGGAAGTCTAATTTATTTGGGAGGCAAAGAGGGTGCCTGTCCACTGGGAGTGTGGAGGCAGACCCCACACACAGCTGTGTGCTGCTGAGAGCCCCAGACAAGGTCTGTGTGCTGTGTGGGACAGGCAGGAGGCCAGCCTGGCACGCGTGGTTCCTTAGGCCACCAGGGAACAGGGGAGGAAAGTGTGGGAAATGCAGCCCTGGGAGACTGGGGTGGTCCGGTGGTGCCAAGGAGGGCATGTGGCCTTTTTTCTTCTTTTTTTAAGAGTTACAGAGAAGCAGAGAGAGAGAGAAGAGAGGGCCTCCATCTGGTTCACTCCCACAACGGCCAGAGCTGGGCCGATTCAAAGCCAGGAGCTTCTTCCGGGTTTCCCATGTGGGTGCAGGAGCCCAAGGACTTGCTTGGCCTGGCTTTCCCAGGCCTGCTTTCCTATGGCCTGCTTTCCCAGGCCCGCTTTCCCAGGCCTGCTTTCCTATGGCCTGCTTTCCCAGGCCACAGCAGAGAGCTGGATCGGAAGTGGAGCAGCTGGGACTTACTGCCGCCCACTTGGGATGCCAGCACTGCAGGCGGCGGCTTTACCCGCGATGCCACAGCGCCGGACCCGCATGTGGGTTTTGAGAGACGGAGTGCAAGACTCCGCAGCTTCCCGGGGCTGCGGAGTTCAGAAAGGCCAGAGGACGTTACTGGTACTGAATTGGGGCCATCAGGTTCCGGAATCATGGTCACTCGCCACTTTGATGCCTTGCCTTTTCATTTTCTGTTGCTCTGGGTTTTAGAGAATGTCATTAGAGACACGTGATGACAGCTACTCTTCTCCCCCCAGGTCCAGTCCTCTGTGGCCGTGGGCACACCTGACTACATCTCCCCAGAGATCCTGCAGGCCATGGAGGACGGCATGGGCGCGTACGGGCCCGAGTGTGACTGGTGGTCCCTGGGCGTCTGCATGTACGAGATGCTGTATGGAGAAACCCCCTTTTATGCCGAGTCGCTGGTGGAGACCTACGGCAAGATCATGAACCATGAGGTAAGACAGTGTGCGCTTGGTGCCTGGCACAGGCCAGGAGGGAGGGCGGGCGAGCAGCGAGGAAGGGGTCTAGTATTTTGGAACGGGGTGCTGGGGTTTGGGCTGGCTGGGCCGGACAGAACCTGGAGAGCTTTGGGCTGGCATGAGGGGAGTGGGAGTTCCCTGGGGGTGGGGTCTGGTGTTTGCTGAGCTTGGGGACCCTGGCAGAGGCAGGTTCACAGGACGTGGGAAGTCATGTGCGGAGCACTTTGTGCCTCCGGCGTGGTCAGTCAGACAGCAGCCATGACTCAGGTCCGCTCCCCAGAGGCCGCTCTCATAAATGGCCACAAGTCCCTAGGGGGTGTTCCTCACCCTCCACGGTCTCCTTTCTCTTCCGTTCCTTTCGGAGCTGTTCATTCTTCACGTCGGTGTTGCTTCCTTCTCTCTCTCCCTTGCCTTCTTTATTATTTTTTATCTGGTATCTTCCTCGCTTTCTTTTTCTAGTCAAACGCGTCTCCGACGATGGCTTCACACTCCCCTGTGTGTGCTTACGATGTACTTTCTGCAGGCACGTGTGTGCCCCCTCCAGCCGTGTCTCCCTCAGTGCTGGGAGCACGTGTGTGCCCCCTCCAGCCGTGTCTCCCTCCGTGCTGGGAGCACGTGTGTGCCCCCTCCAGCCGTGTCTCCCTTGAAGCTCTTGTGAGGAAGCAGATAGCACTATGATAGAGAAAGTTTTCCGTTGAACTGCAAATCAAGGCAAAGCTAAAATTTTAAAAACCATCTTTCCCAAAGTGGAAAACTGTACTCCCCATAAATCCTTCAGGGCACAGAAGAGCACGAAAGGTGGGTGGTGGAGGTGGCCCTGTCCACGTTCAGGGCTGCAGAGGCACGGTGGGAACAGTGCCTGGTAGCAGCAGGAAGCCTGCTGGGGCTGCGGGCGGCCTCTCCACACAGCGGCCCATGAAGCAGGTGATAAATTGCATTGTCTGCTTCTGGGGGTAGCGCAGGTAAGGCAAGGCAGCGAGGGGCTGATTGGTCCTTAGGTGCGGCCTGGCCAAATAGGCAGGGAGTGAAACGCTCTATGTATTTTCAGCATCTGCTCTGACAGAGATAAGCCTGTCTGTGTGTTCTGTATCTTTTTGTACAATTCCCTTTTTGGTGAGGATTTAGGTTATTTGTAGTTTTCATGGCCAAAATATGGTGCAGTCATGAATATGTCCTGGTTTTTCTGGGGAATGTTTCTGTAGAGTGCACTTCTAGGAGTGGAATGGTCCAGGTATTTGCCAGAAGCACCCTGAAAAGGCAGTGCCTGGCCACGGCCCGTGTCCTGCGGCTCCTTTGCCACTTTGACAGGTGGATATTTATCCCTGTTGGAACTTGCAGCAGTGCGGTCCCAAGTCTGCCATGACTAAAACTGGCCAGCTAAGGATGTGAAGCTGGCTGGCTTGGGTGTGCCTTCCGCTCCCACGAGCTGCGCTGCTTTGGAGCTGTGCCTCGTGCTGCTGCCTGTGGCGTCTGCAGGCCGTGGCTCTCTGAGTGTGGCGTCTGCAGGCCGTGGCTCTCTGAGTGTGGCGTCTGCAGGCCGTGGCTCTCTGAGTGTGGCGTCTGCAGGCCGTGGCTCTCTGAGTGTGAGCACCTGCTCTCTCTCCTTTTGCGGCTCCACCCAGGAGCGATTTCAGTTCCCCTCCCATGTCACGGATGTCTCTGAAGAAGCCAAGGACCTCATCCAGAGGTTGATCTGCAGCAGAGAGCGCCGGCTGGGGCAGAACGGGATAGAGGACTTCAAAAAGCACGCGTTCTTTGAAGGCCTGAACTGGGAAAACATCCGGAACCTGGAAGCCCCGTACATCCCTGACGTGAGCAGTCCTTCTGACACCTCCAACTTCGACGTGGATGACGACGTGCTGAGAAACACTGTGAGTGGGAGGGTCACAGTGGCCCCTGTCGCTTGTCAGGTCAACCTCCAAGTGCATGGATTCCTGGAAAGTGGGAACAGTCGGCTTAGGAAAGTACCTTTCATTCCAGCCTTCAGCTGGGTCCTCGGTGGCCATTTATTTATTTATAGATGTATCTGTTTATTCATTTAAAAGGCAGAGTGAGAGTGAGAGTGAGAGAGAGAGAGAGAGTACCTTGTACCCGCTGGTTCAGTCCCCAAATGGCCACAATGGCCAGGGCTGGTCAGACTGGAGCCAGGAGCCGGGAGCTTCGTCCAGGTCCCCTATGTGGGTGACAGGGGCCCAGGTACGTGGGCCATTTTCCACTGGATTAGGAGTGGAGCACCGAGGACTTGCAACAGTGCCCACATGGGGCTGGCACTGCAGGGGTGGCTCACTTGCTGAGCCACCGCACTGGCCCCTGTTTTGGACTTAGTGGAGTACTTCTGCTTTTGTTTCAAAGCCGTGTCCCGTCGGGCTGTTGGGGTTCCCTGTGCTCCCCTGCGTTTCTTTTTCCCTGTGGGAATGTGGGTTTGACTTGTGTGGTGTGTGTTCTTTTGCAGGAAATCCTACCTCCCGGTTCTCACACAGGTTTTTCTGGATTACATTTGCCATTCATTGGTTTCACATTCACAACAGAAAGGTACGTCTGGGTTTGCCTTCCCATGAAAGAAACAGAGACCTTTGTGCACAAGTGTTGCTCACCCCAGGAGCACCTGTTGTCCTTTGAAAGCACACAGCTGCTTACCATGGGCGACACCCTGGGTTGGGTCCCCAGTCTTTGTCTGGGGCTGAGCAGTGAGTGCAGTGCTACCTCGCTTGGGGTCACAGTGGGGCTGGAAAACCGCGTGGTGGTGCTGGCGCACCCACCTGCCACACTGTCGCACGTGTGAGTGTGCTGGGTGCAGGCCGTAGACCACCGTGGCTCTGGCATACATTCTTCACACCAGACCAGTGCTCCCTCTCGCTTTGGGGTGCGTGTCTTACAGCCTGTGTCACAGGTTGCAGCTTCAGACTGTGCGTTCCTTCTGACTGCTCACTTCCTTCCTTTGTCCCGTCAGATCACGTGTGTGCACGCATGTGTGTGCTCCGTGGTGCTCATATGACAGAGGCATCTCAGGACTGTGCCTGTCGTTCAGCACTGCCTGGCTGTGGTTTAGTTGTTGTAGTTTCTTTTACACGGTCTTCTCGTCTTACAACCATTTGAAATCTTAGCAGCCACTCTTAGTGCACACTGGCATGAGAACAGGCCGTGTGGTATAAGAACAGGCCATGTGCCCACTGGTGTTGGGAACCGGCCGTGTGGCATGAGAATACGCCGTGTGCCCGCTGGCTGGACAACAGGTCATGTGGCATGAGAATATGCCGTGTGCATGGTGGCGTGAGAACAGGCCGTGTACACACTGGCGTTGAGAACAGGCCGTGTGGCCTGAGAACAGGCCGTGTGCACGCTGGCGGGACAACAGGCCATGTGGCGTGAGAACAGGCCGTGTACACACTGGCGTTGAGAACAGGTCATGTGGCCTGAGAACAGGCCGTGTGCAAGCTGGCGGGACAACAGGCCGTGTGGCGTGAGAACAGGCCATGGTGGGGTTTGGCCCATGGCTGTGTTCTGCTGGCTTCTGACCGAATCGGCTGTTGGTGCTGGTGACAGTTGGAGCAGCAGCCTCAGCTACAGGTGCCATTGTGCTCGGCTGAGCCGGCCTCGTGCGAGCACTGCTTGCTGTTTCAAGGATATTGGCTTCAGTGCCCTTGTTTCCGTCCCTGGGACTGCCGTCGTGCTGGTGGAGAGCGCTGAGTGTCCGCCCACGTGGGCTCCCGGCCCACGGCTGCTGAGCTGTTGGTGCCTTCTGGCTTCTGTCCTGGGTGGGCCTCTGCAAGGCTGTGCTGCCTGGTGTCCCCTAGGGTGTGGAGCGGAAGGTGGGCTGAGGGGAGCAGGGAGAAGAGTGACGGAGCCTGAGGGGAGGTTGGGGGTGGGGTTCGTGGCCTCTCCTGGCAGCTGACACCTGAGTTGGTGAAATTTGAGAGAGGGGCCCTCTGCTGGAGTTTGTCAAGGTCTCAGCGTGAGGTGACAGAGTTAGACAGCGCCTGGTGCATTCTGGGTGGGCAGGCTGATGGGGGCCTCCCACCACCAAACACGTGTCGCTCACGCGGCTCCAGGCCCACCTGCCAAGGCTTCATTTTGGTGCAAGGGATCGCAGGGGTCTCTTCCTGTGACCCTGTCGGACCAAGCCTGGAGAAACAGTGACGTAATGTGTGTGTGAGTGCTGGTGCCTCTGTCAGACTCGGTGCAGTAACTCGAAACCGTCTCCTGGACATTACCCCACAAACTAAATAATGCATGACACAGCCCACGAACGAAGCTGTGTGTTGGCCCACGAGTGTGGTTGCTGCTGGTGCACGCAGCTCAGAGCAGGGGAGTTGGCTCTTTAGCCTGCAGGGGCCAGTGAGCAGGGGGTTGGCAGGTATCCCTGGATCGCCCAGCCAGTGAGAGGCAGAACTGGAGAGGCCCTAGTGGCCTGTGCTGCCCAGTAGGCCCAGCCGTTCCACAGACGGCTCTGTCTTTGCCTTCCTAGCTGAGTGTCTGTGGCCACACGACATCACCCTGCCTGCTCTGCAGGCTCTTTCTTTGACTCGCCCCCACTGGTCACCGCAGGCAGGCTTTTCAGAGGTGCAGAATGGTTGGGGCTCAGCAGATGAGAACAGCCGGCTGCTTTGTTCCACAGCTGTTTCTCTGATCGAGGCTGTCTGAAGAGCACCATGCAGACCCACACGTTAACCGAGGACGAGGACGTGCAGCGAGACCTGGAGAACAGCCTGCAGGTCGAGGCCTACGAGAGGAGGATCCGCAGGCTGGCGCAGGAGAAGCTGGAGCTGAGCCGGAAGCTGCAAGGTGAGTGCTGGGCGGCCCCGGGGGCGGGGGCTGCATGTCCACGGCCGTGCTCTGTGGCCGCCGCACTCACACTGTGCCCTCCCGCAGAGTCCACCCAGACCGTGCAGTCTCTTCACGGCTCCACTCGGGCCCTGAGCAGTTCCAACCGAGACAAAGAAATCAAAAAGCTCAACGAAGAGATTGAACGTCTGAGGAGTAAGGTAGCAGGTGAGACCCAGGGAAGGCGGTCTGAGGAGAGGCAGCGGAGCAGCCCTGAGGCCTCGTGGCTTTTCTGCTCCTGGCCGTGACCTCCTTGGTGGGCGCTGGCGTAGTGCTTTCATCAGGTGGAGCAGCCCCAAACCCTGAAACCCGAGCAAAGTGCTGGAGTCCTGGTACTTCACTGTATTTAGAATTATCCCCCGGTTGGCTAGGCTCAGTTCCTACTATTTCTTTACTTTTTAAATGTTTTTGAGATTTATTTATAGGGGCTGGTGCCATGGCATGGCAGGTAAAGCCACTGCCTGTGGTGCCAGCATCCCGTATTGGTACCCATGCTAGTCCCAGCTGCTCCACTTCCAATCCAGCTCCTCGCTAATGTACCTGGGAAAGATCGTCCAAGTGCTTGGGCCTCTGCACCAACGTGGAGACCTGGAGGAAGCTCCTGGCTTTGGGCTGGCTCGTCTCCACTGCGGCCATCTGGGGAGTGAGCCAGCGGATGGAAGCTATTTTTCTGTCTCTGCCTTTTTGTTTCTCTCTCTGTAACTGTGCCTTTCAAATAAATAAATAAACCTTTTTAAAATATTTATTTATTTAAAAGACAGAGTTAGGGAGAATCTTCTATCTGCTGGTTCACTCTTTAAGTGGGCACAACAGCTAGGGCTGGGCCAGGCCTGGCCGAAGTCAGGAGCCAGGAGCTTCATCCAGGTCTTCAAAGTGGGTGTGAAGGCCTAAGCACTTGGGCCTGTTCTGCTGCTTTCCAAGGCCATTGTCAGGTAGCTGGCTAGGAAATGGAGCAGCCAGGAGTTGAACTGGTGCCCATATGGATGCCAGCATCACAGGCAGTGGCTTTACCCATGACACCACAGCATTGACCCCAGTCTCGACTATTTTATCCACAAACTTTCAGAGTATCTGGTGCTTCCCTGTTTCTCTGTAGCCAGAGCTTCCTCCTCTTTAAAGCCTTCACCAGTGGGGTGGGCTGTCCAGTGTTTGAAGTGCTAAGCCTGTGCTGTCTCCTGTGGAGGTCCCTGGGTACCAAGAATTCCAGAGACTCCAGTGATGTTTTAGCTTCACCCTCTCCAAGTCACACCTTGAATCTGCCGCCTCTCCAGAAAAAGGCTTTGAAAGAACCAGTTACTCTCACACTTAACGTGAGAGGGGTCCACACCAGGCCAGCTGCAGCATGGAGAGCCATGCAGGAGAGGGGCGTCCTGCTGGGCCTCAGAAGCCGTGGGCACTGGGTGCTGGATAGGTGACTAGGAGGAGGCGCAAGCACGTGGCAGCCTGGTCAACTCTGAGCTCAGCGCACCGTTCGGTAGTTCCCTGGCACTGAGGCCACGTGCCAGGTTAGCCCGTGAAGTCTGGGCGAAGCAGCACGATGGTCTCTCTGTGCCAGATTCGAGCAGGCTGGAGCGGCAGCTGGAGGACACGGTCTCGCTTCGCCAGGAGCACGAGGACTGCACGCAGCGGCTGAAGGGCCTGGAGAAGCAGTGCCGCGCGGCGCGGCAGGAGAAGGAGGACCTGCACAAGGTACAGGGGCTGGGCTGCGGCAGGCTGCGTTCCTGAGACCTCCAGAGCCCTCAGCACCCTCACCCGTGGACGACCCCCGTGCTGTGGGCAGGAAAGGAGGGCAGGGCCCTGGCTGCTGCTGGCACCCGCTTGACAGGCATTATCGGTCTGCACCCCAGCCCTGCAGAGGAAGCAGGACCCCCTCCCCATTCTCGGGGCGGGGGCAGCCGGACTTGGAGGCTGCGGCAGCGTCCACAGAGCCACGCCGGCTGGTCTGAGTGCCTGTCCTCCTGTCCCACCCCGGCCTCCTGCAGCGGCCTCCCTGGAGGGGCTTCTTAGTGAGGACAGGCAGCCGTGACCGCTGAGGCCCTGCAGCCGGTGGGAACTTGAGTCCAGTGAGATACGGCAGGCTACATGCTCAGTGCCACTTCAGAAAGCTCGTGGGAAATGGAGTTAAAAGACACATCTGTTTTGGTGCAAAAACATTTTTTAAATCCTTGCCTATGAGGAGTGTTAAAAAGTTCACAGAAAATGCATATTATTGGAAAAACTTCATGAATTTCATTTTTTGCACTGAAGTTAACTTGCTTTCATTCTATTTTCCACTAATATTTTGAATGTTCTTCACGTTAGCACCACAGTCATACCCTGTTTTCTTTTTTTTTTTTTTTTTATTAATTTATTTGAAACTCTGAGTTACAGAAAGAGAGGGAGAGACAGTGAGAGAGCCTCCATCCACTGGCTCACTCCCCAGATGGCTGCAGTGGCCAAGGGTGAGTCAGGCCGAAGCCAGGGGCTTCATCTGGGTCTCCCACGTGGGTGCAGGGGCCCAGACACTTGTGCCATCTTCCACAGCTTCCCCAGGCCATTGGCAGGGAGCTGGACTGGAAGAGGAGTAGCAGGGACACGAGTCAGCGCCCACGTGGGATGCCGGTCTGCAGGCGGCGACTTCTGCCGCACCACAGCCCTGTTTCTGCAGCGCGTTCATTTCCCTTTGCCCTCGAACCTGTCCTCTGTTCTCTGAACCTGATCTGTTCTCTGAAGTGAGAGGGGCTCAAGCCCACAGTTTCTGAAGTCTGCGCTGGGTCTAGAGTACGGGTGGGGACGTGTGGCATCACCCCAGGCCTCACAGGGATCCTTGCCTGCTGCCCTGGGGGAGCCCCCAAACCAGCAGTGACAGGGCCTGAACAGCTGGATGGTGGACCCGGCGGGCTGCAGTCTGCTGAGGGCCTGGCTCTCAGCTTCTCACTTTGAGAACTGGCACATTTGGGCATCTGCACATGTGTGTTCTCTGATTCTGCTGTGTGTAACCGATTCGTGCTTGTCTGTGTGATTGTGCAGCTGAGACAGTGGTGCAGGTCCGGGCTGTGTGTAGGGCAGGGCGGAGGGCCTTCCCCCGGGTTTTCAGGGCTGTAAGTTAACCCCAGCCTCGGTTACACAGCAAGCGCTGAGCTGCAGCCTTGCCGCCCTTCACGGGAGACAGCTGCCGTTCTTTCTGTCCAGCAACTGGTGGAAGCGTCAGAGCGGCTGAAATCCCAGGCCAAAGAACTCAGAGACGCGCATCAGCAGCGGAAGCTGGCCCTGCAGGAGTTTTCCGAGCTCAACGAGCGCATGGCGGAGCTCCGCTCCCAGAAGCAGAAGGTGTCCCGGCAGCTGCGGGACCGAGAGGAGGAGGTGGAGGTGGCCATGCAGAAGATGGACTCGCTGCGGCAGGAGATGCGCAAGTCCGAGAAGCTCAGGAAAGAGGTAGCCTTTCGGCCGGCAGGTCCCGGGGTCCCACGTGCTGTGCGAAGCCGCGTACATGGACCTGCCAGGAGTTGAGTTGTAGGTCTCGACCCTCGTGTCTGTGAAGCTGCTGAGATTCCAACTAATTTTGAAAATTCCCCTTTAAAACAAAAGGACAGTGTCTGAGTGGTGACGTGCGATGCTGTGGCCTCGCAAGTGTGGCGCTGAGGAAGGCTTGGCTCCTGGCTGGGCACCTAAGAGGACCTGCTGCCCTGGGCCTCCTGAGCACCTGCGGTCCGCGGGCGAGGGCCTCCAGACAGTGCCTGATTTCAGATGTGCTCGAGAAAGCCCGAGCGTTCGAAGGCCTGAAGGTCTTGTTCCTCCCAGGTTCTGGGTCTCTCCTCACGCCTCAGAACGCCTGTTTATTTTCTTCTTAGCTTACTTTGCTAGCCACATATGTTGGTAGTACAGTCAAGTACAGCTAAGTTAGTGAAACCCCTAATTGCAGACTGCCACTTCAGGCCTGGGGTCTGGGTTTCCTGTAAGTGACGGAGTGGGCTCAGCTCCGGCCGCTGCCAGAGCCATCTGTCCGGCACCTGGGCCTCGGGCCACTATTCTCCTTTTCATGGACACTGAAATTTTGTTTAAAAACGCAGCAGTGTTCCACAGGTATCAGAAGGGCCTGTATTCAGGAATCAGCGTCCTGTCTTGAAGTTCAGCGTCAGATTCTCAGTTTACGTTAGCGCTGGCTGCGTCACCACCAGCCGTCCGGTGAAGCCCGGAGTTGTGTTTCCCAGCCTACTTGGCGGTGGCCCTGTGTGTCGGGTGAGGCCCTGCTCGCTCTGTGTTAAGGAACCGTGGGTCTTTTGTAGCTGGAGGCTCAGCTCGAAGACGCCGTCGCCGAGGCCTCCAAGGAACGCAAGCTTCGTGAGCACAGCGAGAGCTTCTCCAAGCAGGTGGAGCGCGAGCTGGAGGCCCTCAAGGTAGCGCAGGGTCGGGCCGCACCCCACCCCTCAGGGTAGCACACGGTTAGGGCCGCACCCCACCCCTCAGGGTAGCGCACGGTCGGGCTGCACCCCACCCCTCAGGGTAGCGCACGGTTGGGGCCGCACCCCACCCCTCAGGGTAGTACAGGTCGGGGCCGCACCCCACCCCTCAGGGTAGCGCACGGTTGGGGCCGCACCCCACCCCGCTGACTGGTCTTCCACAGTGTGCTCATCGCCGGACAGCACGGGGAGGCCCCGGCTGGCGGCAGAGCCTGCAGAGCCTCTGTGCTAGCTTTCCTTTCAAAACCGAGCGCACGTCTTTCCTGCCTGTGTACCAGTTCCAGGCAGTCCACGGTCGTCCTGGTAAGCTAACGTCTACGCCTCACTGTGGTCTGGTTTTCTAAGCTCAGCTGTGTCCAGTTCTGGAAAAGCTCCGTAGTCAAGCCCACGTCCTGTGCTGACGGTGGAGACCGGGAAGGGAGCCGAGAGGGCTGTGTGTGGGCTTGGGCAAAGGGTCACTGTGGCCCCAGACAAGTGGCTCTGTGAAGCGGATGTGCTAGGGCCTCTCTGCCACTCGGTGACCCTGTTGTCTCTCCCCTGGCGCAGGCTGCTCGCCACTGGCAGCAGTTTGCCTGGCTCCCCTGCATGTCTGCGGCTGAGCCTCCCTCCTTCCCTCGCTCTCTGCTCTGCGTACAGCAGCCAGTGAGCGTGTCGGCGCCCGGCCTCCTGCCTGCGCCCTCGCCGCCTGTCCCGGGCTGCTCCATGAGTCACGCCTCACAGCTGCCTCCCTAACCATCTCCCTCACTCCCCACCCACAAACTTGATCGCATGCCTCATCTCAGTGCCAGTCGTGCCAGTGACCTCCCTGCACCGCGATAGCAGAGCCCTCGGTGTCACCAGAAGGGAGCTTGACACCTCAGCCCTCAGGAGGACGTTGTCACGTGGAAGAGTGGATGCCAACTCGGGCAGTGTGGCAGAGAGCCCCTGCGAGCAGACCCCGCCTCCCCCGCAGTCTGCTGCACAGCTGTTAGGAGGGCCCCGGGTCGGGACGCCGAGGCCGGGTGTGGCCTGGGGCAGCGCAGAGCCCGCCATCGTGTCTCCTCCCTGTCCAGGTGAAGCAGGGCGGCCGGGGGCCGGGGGCGGCCCTGGAACATCAGCAGGAGATCTCCAAGATCAAGTCTGAGCTGGAGAAGAAAGTCTTGTTTTACGAAGAGGAGTTGGTCCGGCGCGAGGCCTCGCACGTGCTGGAGGTGAAGAGTGTGAGGAAGGAGGCTCATGACTCCGAGAGCCAGCAGCTGGCCCTGCAGAAGGAGGTGCTGATGCTGAAAGACAAGCTGGAGAAGGCGAAACGCGAGCGGTGAGCCAGGAGCCCCGGGCGGGGAGCCACGACGGCCGGAGCCGCGCGAAGCGCTAGCCGCGTCTCCCTCACCCCGCAGGCACACTGAGATGGAGGAGGCGGTGGGCACCGTCAGAGACAAGTACGAGCGGGAGAGAACGATGCTGCTTGATGAAAACAAGAAGTTAACAGCTGAGAATGAAAAGGTGCCTTCACTGGGCGTTCAGTGTGTGCTTGAGTGCTCGTGGTAACTGAAGTAACAGTAACTGAAGTAATGTGCTTGTCTTTGGGACGGATTCAGGCTGCTGACAGCTGTAGCGACCTGGAGTCCGGGGCTGTCTCCACTCGGTTTCTGTGTGTGGGGAAATGGCTCGGCCGAAGTCCTGTCTTGAACCGACTGTGGCTGTCTCGATTTTAATGGGGCTGTTCTATTAAAGGATGCCAAATTAATGGGTTGTGTGGTGAAATTGTTTAATTTCAGCTTTGTTCCTTTGTGGACAAACTCACGGCTCAAAACAGACAGCTGGAGGGCGAGCTGCAGGACCTGGCCTCCAAGAAGGAGTCCGCCGCGCACTGGGAAGCCCAGATCGCGGAAATCATTCAGTGGTATGTCCGTGGCCGTGCCCAGGGCGGGGTGCGGGGCCTGCCGCCGTCTCCCCAGATTCCTGAGGGCGTCACTGGGGCCAGCGGAGCCGCGCTGTCCACGCCGCCCTCTCGCCCTCAGGTGGAGGTAGACGCCCCGTCCCAGGAGACTGGGGAGAGCAGCGATGGCAGAAAGCGCCATCTTGCCTGACTGAGGCAGTGTTTCCCCCTGCAGGGTCAGCGACGAGAAGGACGCCCGGGGCTACCTTCAGGCTCTGGCTTCTAAGATGGCGGAGGAGCTCGAGGCTCTGCGGAGCTCCAGCCTGGGGTCCAGGACACTGGTAGGTTTTGCTCCGAAGCCGGCGTTTGTGTTGCCTGCGTCCGCCCTGATGGGTTTGTCGTCCAGCACGGGGCCGTGTTTGGGGGCATCCCAGGTGCTCCTGCGCCGGCGAAGCCTGCATGTGACCCCTGACGCTGAGTCCACTTGGAAGGGTCCTGCCTCTGGGCAGCTGTCAGGAGGGCACGGCTTCCTCTCAAAGCGCCGTGGAGCACAGGCTCTGGCAGTGGGTGGACCGTCCAGGCTCACCCGGCAGCCTGACCTGTGCGCCTTCACCACAGGCCAGATACCTGTTGTCGCCATCTTTCCAGGGCCAGTTTGCCCTTTAAATCTGATGTAAGGGGGGTGGTTGGTGCCATCAGGGCGCCCGTGTCCTCTACGGCACTGCCAGGGTCCAGTCCTTGTTCTGTGCGCCCCCGGCAGGCAGCAGGCGACGGCCTCCTTCCCACCTTGGACTGATGACTGTGAAATGCCTCCCCCAGTTTCCTTCTCGCGGTGCTGGGGCAGCTCCGCAGCGGGGAGAACGTGGCCCATTCTGCTGGTTTCACTGTTGTCCCGTCATGCCAGGCCACTACTGATTTGAAAGGCAGAGTGACGGAGAGTGAGAAATCTTTCATCTGCTGCTTCACTCCCCAAATGGCCACAGTACTTGGGCCATCTTCTGCTGCTTTCCCAGGTGCATTAGCAGGAAACTGGATCAGAAGCAGAGCAACTGGGACTTGAACCAGCCCTCTGAAGGGGGATGCCAGTGTCACAAATGGCAGTTTAAGCCACGACGCCATAATTCCAGCCTCAGCTTTTTAAAAAAAAAAACAACCTAGGAACAAGCAATGATGATGACACAGCAAAATGTTGAGGCTGGCGTTGTGGCGCAGTGGCTTAGCCGCTGCCTGTGACCCCAGCATCCCTCATGGGCGCCAGTTCGAGTCCTGGCTGCTTTACTTCTGATCCAGCTCTCATGCACGTGGGGAAATAAAGTAGCCTCAATACCCAGGTCCCTGCTCCCCACCTGGGAGACCCGGATGGGGTCCTGGCCATTGTGGCCGTTTGAGGAGCAAATTGGTCATTGGAAGATGCTTTCTGTCTCGCCTTGTCTTTGCCACTCTGCCACTAAATGTGCAAATCTTTAAAACAAATAATACAGTAAAAGATCCTACAGATTAGTGTTAGTTTTTTGCGAATAGTTATATATACATATATGACTATGGTGGTAACGTCCTAACCCCCGTCTGAAGGACCCGCTTTGGAAAGTCCGACGCAGTCAGAAGCTGGACATGTCTGCACGGCTGGAGTTGCAGTCTGCGCTTGAGGCAGAGATCCGGGCCAAGCAGCTGGTGCAGGAGGAGCTGAGGAAGGTCAAAGATGCAAATCTCTCCTTCGAGAGGTACTTGGTGTTGGTCCGACGCGGGACAGCTGAACCCTGCCTCCCTTGTCTGGAAACAGGCACAGCCCAGCTCGCAGTGGGCAGGGCGCCATGAGGACAGGAGGGGGCTTGAGGAGGGTGTGGCTTCTGCTGCCAGTGTGCTTGGTGTTCCGCAGAGAAAATGAGCGTGGCTGGGCCCCTGGCTGCTTGTGTCCCCTGTGTTGGGAGACAAGACTCACAGCCGCACCTCTGTGGCTTCCTGTCCACCTCAGCGCTCTTAGCGTTGGCAGCGCAGAAGTTTGTTAAACAAACGTGAATATTTAGAAATGGAGGCAGAAGATGGCATGCCTCTGGGAAGCTTCCCTGAGTCGAAGTGGCAGCAGTGGCAAGTTCCTGTGGCAAGTTCAGCAAGAACTTGTGGGGTGTGGCGCGTGCAGGTGCTGTTCCCGGTGCCCTGCGGGGTAGGCCAGGGCACGCTGCTGGGTGGTGGGGGCAGCACTCAGGAGGGATGAAATCCTTTTTGTTTGGGGCTAAGAAAATAATGAGAAACAGATACTGGTCACGTTCCTTCTGCAGTGGGAACTGCCGTGACCCCCCCCTTGTACTGTCAGGCACACTCTCTTGTCCCCTGACCAGGGCGCAGGGGCTTGGGAAGTAGGGTCCTTGGCCAGTGTCACCCACTGATGGTGGCAGCACCCGGCTCCGGCTGCTCACCTCTGCTCACCTGGCACCACTCCGCTCTCACGGCCCGCACACCCCAGCATCAGCGTCCCCAAGGCCCCAGCCCTCGCGCAGCCGCAGAGCTGCACAGAAAGGCTGCACCTGCTGAGCGAGTGACCTGGGCCCCACGGCCTCGGGGGACACAGGGACGCCAGGCACAGAGGGCTGCCCGAGCCCGAGTCTCCCAGCCGCGTGCCAGATCCACGCTGGAGCATTTGTTACTGTGGGATCTGCTGGCCCTGGGCGCCAGCGAGAAGCCCCGCGCCTCACAGCCGTCCACTTTTTATCGTAGCAAACTGAAGGACTCCGAAGCCAGAAACAGGGGGTTACTGGAAGAGATGGAGAATTTGAAGAAGAAGATGGAGGAGAACTTGAGAGCAGACCCTGGTAATCCAAGATGCCGAGCTTTTCGGGGCCGGTTCTTCTCAGATTCGCTTCTCAGCTGGGAGTGCGCCGGGCACGGGCTGCGCGCCCTCCGTGCTGGGGTCGCCGCATTGTTGGGCTGTTTCCGGCTTTGCCGTCACCGTAGGGCCTCCCAGCCGTGCGCATGGAACTTCCGTGTGTTTCACGTGGGATTGTCCGGTGTGCCGGGGCCAATGGATTCCTGCCGCGCTCTGGGAGGGGGCCTGCCCCACCGCTCGGCTGGGGGGTCTGGCTTTTGCCAGTCTGAATAAGGGCGAAGTCGCATCTCAGTGCAGCTTGTCTGCTTCTCTTACGCGAGGTTCAGCGCTTCCTCGTGTATTTAAGGCGATTTGTATTTCCTTCGGTGAGTTATGTGTTTGTATCTTTTGCCTATTTGTAAGAACTCAGTGTTAGTTTTTGTTAGGTGTTTTATATATTAGGAGTTAAAGCCTTTTGATTATTTCTTAGTTTATCTTCTCTTGTTCAGTTTTTTTTTTCCTAGTGAAGTGTTTTGTCAGGCTTTCCCCCCTTAGTCGTGGGAAGCCATCCGCTCCCCCAGCTGTGCAGGGGCTCACGCCTGGCTTCCGCCCCGCCTGCGTGGTGCCCCGCCTGCGTGGTGCCGGTGCTCAGGTTAGACGGCTGCCCCTTTGGAGTGTGCGGATGTGTAGCTTGAGCAGTAGCTGTATCCATCAGCTGCATCTCTCTGTTCATGGTTGGCAGACCGCCCTCACCTCCACCACACGTGGCTCCGACACACAGGTGACCGTGGCGTGTGAGAGGTGGCCGGGAGCTCGCTAGAGCCCAGCAGAGGCTCCTGCTCCCCACTCGGCCAGGATCCCGTCAGAGTCCTCTGTCCGCGTGGCTGGGGAACTGACGTGGGGTGACGCTGAGTCGTCTTCCCACACGAGCGCTTAAACTCTCATGTGCACCGTTCTGTTTCTTGTAGGGCTCAAACTTCCAGACTTTCAGGATGCTATTTTTGAGTACTTCAACACTGCACCTCTTGCACATGACCTGACGTTCAGAGTAAGTAAACTGAGATAAATTAGAAGTAGCGTAACAGCCCCTGCCCACGCACCAGTGAGCGGACATCTGTTTAGCTTGATGTCCTGCCGACCCCGTCACGGACACGGGACGTCAGAGCTGCAAGGTTAGGGACACCCGAGGCCTTGCTGCTCCCGAAGAGGCTTCCTCCGCTCTCATGAGGTAACAGTCGGTGACAGAAGTGTTGGGCGTCTCTGGGGAGAAATCTGCACAGGCCTCCGGCAGAGGAGTGAGTGTTTCCTGCTATTGTTCGGATTAGCACGATTCAGTCGTGTCGCCACGTCCATGGCTTGTGCGGTTTTGTCATTGGTCTCACGATTGGTGGGAAGGGTGAGTTATGAGATGAACTCGGCACCGAGCACCTGGCCAGGACCCTGGCACCAGCATCCGGCGTGGCACCTGCCAACAGAGCAGGTCCAGGTCCTGCTCCCGCCCTCTGCTGTCCGCTGTTGGCAGCTCCAGAAGGCCACACGGGTGCTCCATGGTGTCTGACACGGCGTGGAGGGGCCCAGAGCAGCACCCACCAACAGCCAGCAGGAGTTGGGGTTCCAAGAGCATACCATGCGGTGGGGCTGCCGCTGGGGTGCTTCTTATTCCAACTTTTATTTAGGAAACGTGGGCGCTGTAGCACAGGGACCACACTGGTGCTTCTGTCTCACTGCACACACAGACCCACGTCCCCTGAGCTGTCCGACAGTGACGGCATGTGTAAGGCCGAGGGCGCTCCCTCAGCTCAGCACGCTGCTGCTGTCCTGTGGGGGGGGCACTGGCCCTGTGCCACCCTCACCCCGTGAGCCCCTTCACAGCAGGGTCTCTCCAGTCAGAGATGATGTCACTGCTCACGCTGTTCCTAGCTCGCTCCCTCACTTTTTGTTTATTTATTTGAAAGGCAGAGTTGGAGAGGCGGGGCTTCCATCTGCTGGTTCCCTCCCCAGGTGGCCTCCATCTGGGTCTCCCACGGGCGTCTTCCACTGCCTTCCCCGGTGCATTAGCAGGGAGCTGCAGCAGAAGTGGAGCAGCCGGGTCTCCAGCTGGCGCTCAGACAGGATGCTGGCGTCGTGGATGGCAGCTTTGCCAGCTGTGCCGCGGGGCCGGCCCCACGTTTCTTTCATCTCCAACACTGTCTGTGATGTTAATACTTTTCGAGTGTCCAGACCAACTGTCTGGTGAAGCGGCTGTGGCCTGGAGCTGTCCGATGTTCCCTGCTGATGCCGTGTCGGGTGCACGGCTGGGCGCTAGGTCCGGGCAGGGCCCTGAGACCAGAGTGCCTATGCTGCGACTGCTGTCAGGTTGAGGCGGTGGCGCCAGACTTGTCTGTGTCATCAGTGGGGCAGCCAGCGGGTGTCCGTGCAGTCCCCCTCTCGGGGACCGGCATCACCCCCCATCCTGACCCAGACCAGCTAGTTACTTCAGGTTCCTAGCAGGTTGGCAAGGCCAGCAGCCATCTTGGGCACACAGTGTCGACCACCACTTGCCAAAATGTGGTTTTGTTTTTTGTTTTTGTTTTTGTTTTTTTAATCTTAATTGGTGGGTGGACATTGGGCGCAGTGGTTAAGATACCCCATCCCCTAACAGGGTGCCTGGGTTCGAGTCCTGACTCTACTTCTGATTGCAGCTTCCTGCTACTGCACACTGCCGGAGGCAGCAGGCAAAGACTGCCACCCACATAGAGATCTGGATGGAGGTTCTGGCTCCCTGCTTTGACCTGGGGGGAGTGAACCAACAGATGGAAATCTCTGTGTCTCTGCCTTTCAAATACATAAATAAAAAATTACAAAAGGAAGAAAGCATTAATTAAAAGATAAACAAAATCCGCGACCTTTGTCTCTGCTGGAGTCCACTTTAAGGCGCGAGTGTGTTTCCTCTGACGAGCCCCTGGCCGGAGCGAGCACAGGTAGCAGAGGCCAGGCGTGGCGTCTGCAGGGTGCAGAGACAGCAGCCCTGGGGGAGGAGGGCGTGGCCGGCATGGCCCGGTCTCCGCCCCTCCTTCCTGCCCCTGATCCTGGGGGCAGGTGGGGCCAGCTCTGGGTCTGCTCCACGTGGCCTGGTCAGCCAAGATGGGGCTCGAGGCTGAGGCCGCGTCGATGTCTGTGCCAGGGCACCGGGCGGCCCGGGACTGCTTTGTTCCTCCTGTCTCTCCTCCTCGTCCCTGTCTTTTCTGCCAGCCTTCTGGGAGGAAGTACGTGCCTGCCGTGCCGCCTCCCACACTCCCGTCCCTGTTGGCAGACAGCTTGTTAGCCCTGCTCTTCCGCAACTGCATCCTTTCCATTAATTCTCCAAGTAACTGGGACCAGTGGGACTTTTCCGTGGCTAAAATTGCACTACTTAGTACTCTGCTCATTCATCTCTAGATGCAAACCTTAGCTCATTTAACGTGCCTTATTTACGGGGCGCATTTGCTTACATATTTTAGCTTTGATAATAACTGAGCAGACCTTTCCCATGTGGTTTGTTTACGAGTTGTTGCACTCAGTGCACAGCTGTGGGCATCTCCTGTGCGCCTTCCCTGGCTGATGGGGAGTGGGGGTCAGCTGCGGCTCACTGAGGGTTCTGGTGTGGGTCCCAGAGCACAGCCACCCCACCCACCAGAGCAAACACAGTTGGCTTGATGAGGAAAGTTTACTCTCAGGAATGCGTAGTAAACAGCAACTAATTTGTGGCAACCACACAAAACATGGCCATGAGGCATGAGAGCTTCAGGGGGTTCTGCCCAGGTGAGCCTCCCCTTCGTCCTCACACTGCCAGGCTGAGGTAAAATCACGGAAGAATCAGGTCACGTGGCCCAGTCCTGGCTCCCCTGCATGGGCGTGCCCAGGGCGGGAGAGCTGGGGGTAGGGTGCGGGCCTGGGACTCGGGCTCCCGGGGAGTGGAGCAGGTGTGGGCTGCACGGGACCCTGTGCGCCTTCGTTTTGCAGAGCAGCTCAGCCAGTGAGCAGGAAGCGCAGGCTGCAAAGCCGGAGGCCTCGCCCTCTGTGGCCGCCAGCACCGAGCAGCAGGAGGTAAGGCGGTGCTGCCTTGGGGAGCAAAGACCCTGTCCCCCAGCCTGCAGCGGGAGCCTCGCCCTTTGGCACAGATGTTGCTAGCAGCCCGTTGTAGAGAGGGGAGTCCTACGCCAAGGTGCGCATGCTCACCTCTCCTGCCTGTCTCCTAGGACCTGGCGCGACCGCCACAGAGGATGCCCGCTGTGCCGCTGCCCACCACGCCGGCCCTCGCCCTGGCTGGACCAAAGGTAGGGCCTCGTGCGTCATTCAGAAAGATCGGAAAATAACTGGTGTGAAGAAGACAGCGTTCTGGACACAGTAGGATCTCGTGCCCTGTGCCGAGCTGGTCTGGGTTGGTGGCGGCCTAGGAGCCTGCGGTGGCGTCACCACACCTGTGCTCCACACAGCCGTCCACACAGCCTGTGCTCGTGCTGAGGGTGTCGCTCTACGGTTCTGAGCCTTGTCGTTTTGGCCCTGCTGTTGGCACAGGCAGGCCTCCCTGATTTGTGTCGTGGCCTGGCGTTCCATGGCCTCCTTTGTGTTTGGTGTAGACAGCACAGAGCACTCAGTTCGCAGTGGTGCCCAGCCCCCCTGACTGACTCTGAGCCCACGTGGCAGGGCTCTCTGATGCCGCCGTCGGCGTGGCCCTGACGTCTGCCCGGTTCCCGCTGAGGAAGAAGTGGGGTTCATTTAAGATGAGCTGACCTTTGGCTTTTGGCCTTAAGAGCCTTCAAGAGTCAGGGACCGCGTTAAGAGGGTCGTCCTACCTTTTGTGAACGTATTCGATACCCAGAAGTGGCTCTGCTGGGGTGTCGCCCGGCACAGCTGTGACCGGCCCAGCCACTGCCCGCGCCCCTCCCTGGGTCACCCACTCCTCGCTTCTTCCCGACGATCTCGCCACACCTGTGCCATGCTGAGCGCATTGTGGGACTCAGCCCTGCCCTGTGTTGGTCTCTGGTCCATGGATTGCGGCGCTGGGGCCTGCCAAGCTTTTCCTGTTGGGAGCACTCCCGTGCAGGGCTGCTTGGAGAGACAGTCTGGCCCCAGCATAGTCTGTCTTGGAGAGCTTATGCCAGGGTCAGCCCCGCCTCCCAGGGCCGCGGCTCAGCCCACCTGTGTCTCTGAGGTGAGCAAAGGTGGATGTGTTCTGGCCTACACGCCCTAGGAGGTTCCAGGCTCACGTGGCGAGGCCTCAGGGGACCGTGTGCTGCTCAGCCGTGCTCACCTCTGTTCTTGGCCCTCTTCCTCCAGCCCAAGGCCCACCAGTTCAGCATCAAGTCCTTCTCCAGCCCCACACAGTGCAGCCACTGCACCTCCCTGATGGTCGGCCTCATTCGCCAGGGCTACGCCTGCGAGGGTGAGTGTCCGGCCTCGCCTCCCCGCCGGCCTGGAGCAGCAGGGAAGAGACGGGGTGTGCACTGGCCAGGTGGGCTGGCCCGCAGCCCTGTGGGTGAGGCTGTACACGGGGGGCCACCCCTGGGCTGTGTGGACGCCGCCTTGGTGGTTTTCTTGGTTCTCCGTGTGGTAGCAGGAGCATTTTCCTTTTAACTTGTAAGCACTGGTTGCTTGCCAGGACCCCGGTCTATATGCACGGCAGCCCTGGGGGACTGGGGACCTGCCTGTGTGGGATGGCGTAACCACGAGCCAAGCCCCGCCTTCCTATCAGCCAGGTGGACGTCCATGCAGCACCAGATCGCTGGGCTTCTGGGGTTGTGGTGACGCTGCCCTGGGTACGTCCCGAGGGTCACATGCCTTCCTGTCCTTCCCAGTGTGTTCCTTTGCGTGCCACGTCTCCTGCAGAGACAGCGCCCCCCAGGTGTGCCCCATCCCTCCCGAGCAGTCCAAGAGGCCTCTTGGCGTGGACGTACAGAGGGGCATAGGAACAGCCTACAAGGGCTACGTCAAGGTAAGAGGGCTGCAGCCTCCCAGTCTGTGGCCCCTTCCACTCAGTCCTCAGCGTCCCGGGCTAGTGGCTGAGGGCCACCACACTGCTCTTGAAGCCGGTGCCTGAGTGAGGTGACCTGGGGTGCTCCTGGGGGCAGGAGGTCCTGAGGACCGGAACCCACTGAGGTGCCTGTGCGAGGTGACCTGGGGTGCTCCTGGGAGGCAGGGGGTCCTGAGGACCGGAACCCACTGGGGGCCCATCCCCCCGGCTGGCCAGGTGTCCAGGGTCAGGTTGGGTGGGAGGACTGCAAGGCTCCTGTCCACTGTGGCCCAGCTGCTGGTGGACCCGCACATGCGGAGCCTTCCCCAGATACAGCCCTGGCCGCTGGGACGTGCACAGCGCCAGAGGCAGGTGGTGAGCTGGCCCTGCGGCCTCCGCTGCCGCTGCCCTGGCCCAGCGAAGCGTGGTCACTGTGCGTCTGCAGGTCCCAAAGCCCAGCGGGGTGAAGAAGGGCTGGCAGCGGGCGTACGCGGTGGTGTGCGACTGCAAGCTCTTCCTGTACGACCTGCCTGAGGGGAAGTCCGCCCAGCCCGGGGTCGTCGCCAGCCAGGTCCTGGACCTCAGGTGTGTGTCGGCGTGCTGGCCACGCACTCTGGCGGGGACCCGGCTCAGCTGTCGGCAGCTGTCACAGAGGGTTGGGTGCTTGGTGACCCTCAACCTCATCGACACCTTCACCTCCTTAACTACTGTGAGCCCAAACACGGGACAGGTTTAGTTACTCCTGAGAGGCTGTGAGCGTCACTGCTGTGGCTGTCTGTGCATTGGAAAGATGGCTGCGGTGGGTGTTGTCTGTAGCTGGGACAGCCACGTCCCCTGTCGGGAGTGCCGGGGTCAAGTCCCAGCCTGGGTTTTTATCCAGTCCCCTGCTGATGTGTACCTTCGAGACAGCTTGTGGGGGACGCAGATGGACGTCCTGGCTCCTGGTTTCAACCTAGCCCACCCCAGTGATTGCAGGCGTTTGGAGAGTGAGCCAGAGGATGGAAGATCTCTGTTTCTCTGCCTTTCAAATAAATGAAAAATAAACTAAGAAAAAATTGCCAGGTAGACATTTAGCATGTGACTCTGTGCCCACGAACAGCAGGAACTCGGCAGAGGCACAGCCTGTGCCGGAAGCTTGGCACCAGGGCTGAGCGTCAGACCCGTGCGAGAGTGGCCCTGCACCCGCGTCTCTGTCCTCAGACTCCATGTCTGTGACACCGGCAAGGACCCCACTGCCCACACAGAGGGCTGGGCTGAGGGTCAAGCCAATTACTGGAGATGCACTACACACAGTACACACAGGCCATCCGTACGTGAGAGACGCGCCACACACAGTACACACAGGCCGTCTGTACGTGAGAGACACGCCACACACAGTACACACAGGCCGTCCATACGTGAGGGCCACTTGGTGTCGTCAGCCCAGTGCCACATAGCCTGGCCCAGAGACCCAGTTTCCAGCATTTTCTTTGGGAGCAGGAGTACCAGGCAGGCACCCCCCAGCACTGCAAGAGCCAACGGCGCGTCAGCCACAAAGTGACGCTGTCCACTTCTGTGGCCCTGGCCTGGCATGGGCTCGAATCCCAGCGCCGTCTGGGGCAGAGCCTGCTCTGTGACAGACACAGAGCCCAGGGTTGACCTGTGGTCAGTGCAGGCCACACTTTGCTATGGGACTTGGGCACATTACAGTGTAAAACCAGAGCGGGGGTGCCCGCCCCTCCAAGATGTTGGTGCCTTTGCCGGAGCCCTGGGCTACAGAGGGGCTGCCCTCAGGGGTGGACGCGCCCTTCCTAGCAGGCACCATGCTGGCAAAGGGTGGGGCCAGGCCGTGCCCATCTGTACTGGGCTCTGAATAGTTTTTTTCTTGTCAGAGACGAAGAGTTTTCTGTGAGCTCAGTCCTGGCCTCAGATGTCATCCACGCCACGCGCCGAGACGTCCCGTGTATATTCAGGGTAGGACTGTCTGATGGTTTCTCCAATCGCTAAAAGAAAAAATCCCATGGTTAAAATACAGGGAGTCTGGGTGCCCGCCTCCCCCAGAGTCCTGCTGCCAGCCCACGCCTGCCCGGCTCCACAGCCTGCTCTTCAGCCGACCTCTGGAGCTCGTGTCCATGTGGCCTGGGTCTGACCTTCAGCACCATGAGCAGCTTCTTGGTGGTCAGCCGTGACTGTCCCACCAATCGCCCGAGATAGGAAAGGGCCGGAGACACGCAGACCTTGTTGCGTGGTGTTTCCTGGCTGGGGCAGAATGCCCCCACCCCCTGCTGGAGTCTGTGTGCCAGGGAGCTCCCAGGAGCTGAAGGAGACGCCCCAGGCCTCTGCTGAGCACTGTCCTAAACACCCAGAGCCACCCTTCACCCAGTCACATCGCGGTCAAAGGGCCGCCCTCATGCTTCGGTCATGGGCGCCTTGTGGGACTGAAGCCCTCCAGGCATCCAGGGCGAGGGTAGGGGGTCTCTTGGATCCTGTTCTCGTGGCACACATTCTGATAATCTACTTTTTGATTATAATTAGTCAAGAAAGCCTAAGTCTGGCAAGAGCGGAATTAACTGCACCTGAGCAGGAAGGGATGTGCAGAGGTGGTTGGGTTCCGCCCTCCTGTAGACTGCCCTGGGAGCCACCACAGGCAGGCGCTTTGCTGTCCACCTGGCCCGGTGCAGAGGGACCCTGGGACCAGGCCTGGGCTCTGCTTGGTTTGACGGCTGCTCTCTGTTCTTGTCTGTCTCCCGCCGTGAAGGTGACGGCCTCTCTCTTAGGTACACCTTCCAAGACCAGCGCCCTGCTCATTCTGACAGAGAATGAGAACGAGAAGAGGAAGTGGGTGGGGATTCTAGAAGGACTGCAGTCCATCCTCCACAAAAACCGGCTGAGGAACCAGGTGGTGCACGTGCCGCAGGAAGCCTACGACAGCTCGCTGCCGCTCATCAAGGCCGTGCTGGCGGCGGCCATCGTGGGTGGGTCCCCAGCACGCGGCCAGCCAGGTGTTGGGCAGGGGTTCTCCGAGGTGCTGCCCTTGAACTCGTCGACGAGCTCCTCCGTGCATCTTTGTCACCTTCCTATCCCCGGCAGATGGAGACCGGATAGCAGTTGGCCTGGAAGAGGGACTGTACGTCATTGAGGTCACCCGAGACGGTGAGTGCGGCCGGGTGCATGACCCCGTGTCACACAGGGCAAGGCCTTCAGTGGCCAGCCCACAGCTGATGTCCACGAGGAGAGGACGCACGGGTGGGGTCAGGGAGTGCCTCCCGGGGTGCGTCTGGCTGGCTCCTGTGCTTTGGGACTCTCAGAAGTGCTGCCCGTTGGCGTCCCTGTGACAATCACGGCAGAGTGCCACACAGCCCAGGGTCGGGAGCTGACCTGTCAGGACAAGAGTGGGCCCTAGAGCCGCCCCAAGGGATCAGACAGGGGAGCGAGGGTGAGCCGTGGCTGGCCCAGGGCGGCTCTGTCCTTCAGGCCTGGCTCTCCTCGTGTGGAGTGGAGCTGCCTAGCCAGTTAGGACGTCTGGCGAGTGTGGGAAGAGTGAGGCCGCAGCTACCCTTGTTCCCCACATGCTCTGGTTTGGGGATGAGCTGGGAAAAACTCAGGCTCCCTGCAGCAAGCAGCCTCCAGGCTGGGGTGTAGGGCTTCCCAGCAGGGCCCTGGTGTTGGGGGTGTAGAGGGCTGGGCAGAGGCCGGTGGAATCGGGGCGCTCCTGTGCCCGTGTCAGAGCCCAGGGCCGCCTCACGGGGCTCACGCTCCTGTCCCCGCTCCAGTGATCGTCCGCGCCGCCGACTGTAAGAAAGTGCACCAGATCGAGCTTGCTCCCCGAGAGAAGATGGTCGTCCTCCTGTGTGGCCGCAGCCACCACGTGCACCTCTACCCGTGGTCCTCTCTGGATGGAGCGGAAGGCAGCTTTGATATCAAGCTCCCGGAAACCAAAGGCTGCCAGCTCATAGCCACGGCCACCCTGAAGGGGAGCTCTGCGACCTGCCTCTTCGTGGCCGTGAAGCGGCTGGTCCTCTGCTATGAGATCCAGAGGACTAAGCCCTTCCACAGGAAGTTCAGTGAGCTCGCGGCCCCCGGACACGTGCAGTGGATGGCCGTGTTCAAGGACAGGCTGTGTGTTGGCTACCCTTCTGGGTTCTCTCTGTTGAGCATCCAGGGAGACGGGCAGGCTCTCAACCTGGTAAATCCCAATGACCCCTCGCTTACGTTCCTCTCACAACAGTCTTTTGATGCCCTTTGTGCTGTGGAACTCACAAGTGAGGAGTACCTGCTTTGCTTCAGCCACATGGGACTGTACGTGGACCCACAAGGCCGGAGGTCACGCATGCAGGAGCTCATGTGGCCTGCGGCTCCTGTCGCCTGTAGTATGTATATGTTTTCTGTTGCCATACCCCTGCTGCTGCTTCTCACCTCGACAGTTGCTGTGTTCTATTTTGCTGTACTTGTCTTCCAGTTCCCTTAGTTGTCGCTGCGGATGTGTCAGGAGCGGTGGGCTCCCTGGCCCCCACGGTGCAGCGTGTGTAGACAGCACGCGTCCACGTGGCGTGGGTGGGCGTGGTGGGTGCCCAGGGCCTCCCCTCTTGAGCAGCCTCCTGCTGCGCAGCACCTGTTGGCGGAAGGAGAAGGCGCCTGGCGTTCTTGGCCCAGCGTAGAAACAGCTCAAGGTGTCCGGTGGCCAGTTCAAGTCTGGGTTCTGGGTTCCAGCCCAGTCCCTCTTGGTCAAGCATCTGGAAATCGGTGCCGTCACTTAGTGTGCTTAGTTCCAGACTCCTCTGTGGACGGGGACGCCCAGCAGAAGCCAGAGCCCTGATCCGTCTGGGAAGCTAAAAGCCAGCGCCACCGGGGTCTGGGCTCCACGCTAAAGCCTTAAACCCCAGGCTTGCACTGGTGAATTCAGAGGGGCCTGCATCACCGCGTCAGGCGGGCAGAAGGCCGCAGTGGGCAACGTCGGGGCTGTGGGCAGGGAGTGGCTGGGCTCAGGTGGGTGTTCTCCTTTCCTGAATTACCTGAAGTGAAGTGCTTGGGTCTGTCTGCTGCTGGCCTCGCCAAGCCGGCAGTGTCCCCGGGGACTGGGACTGACACCCAGCCTGTGGGTGCTGGCAGCCCCAGTGTGCCGCGCAGGCAGGAGAGGGACCACACCCCATCATGGCAGCCGGTACAGGAAGCTGACCTCGTGGGAGCAGGGTCCTTCTCCTGGAACAGAAGGGTCAGGGCCGAGAAGCCACAGGGCCCTAGCGACCCAGACGGACCCCGGGTGGATGTCTTGTGCCCTCCACTGCTGAGGGTCTTCTCGCCCCCGCCCCAGCACAGTAGACGCCAAGTCCGTTTGTTTACTTTTATTTATCTGAATAGGAGTAGAGAGATGAGAGAGGCCTCCCATCTGCCAGTTCACAACGGCCAGGGCTTGGCGCTCAGTCTGAGTCTCCCACGTGGGGGCAGGGTCCCAAACACCTGAGCCCTCACTGCTGCCCCCAGGGTGCCTGTCAGCAGGAAGCTGGAACCAGGAGCAGGGCTGGGGCTCGAGCCCAGAGCTCTGGTGAAATGCGCCCGTCTCAGGGCAGGTGCTGACCGGGCGCCCCTTGCCACAGAGGTTCTGTAACTGGGCTCAGCTGCTCCACGGCCACGTCTCACTCGTAGCTGTAGTTGAGGTTTTCTTTGGCTGTGAGTTGATGGCTCTGTCGGCAGAGTGAGCCCGGGTCAGTTTTCCGTGTGTGCTCAGAGAGGGCCCCACGGGTTTGTCTGTGAATATCAGTTCTGAGGCAGTCTGGTACCCAGTTAAGCATCTCCTTTCTATCTGCCAAAACCAGTTTTGTTTTGTTTTTTATTAAAGGGGGGTAGGGAGGGGGGAAGGCTGGTCGCACAGCCTGGCTGGAATCGACGGTAGGAAGCTGGCTGCAGAGGCCTGGGGAAGAGGGAGACGGCAGTGCTGCAGCTCCGAAAGGAAGTGTCCTTGTCGTGTTTGTTCAGACCGCACACGGGGAGCCGAGAGGGGCCTGGAACATTCCCCCAGGGCCTGCTTGCAGTCACAAGGGGCGCGCGGGGCTGAGCTGTATCCAGTGTGGGGCTTTGGGTGCCTTCCCAGGAGCCTGTCCCTGCGTCTTGTGAGGGAGGGGTCAGCTTCCCAGTGGGGTAGCTGAATTTCACGTGGGCTCGTCCAGGACTGATAGGTTGTGCAGCAGTCACAGGTGAACGGAAACTCAGGTGTTACTCAGTCGCAGGAACACTGTGTCTGAACCCTGGGCCAGGGGAGAAGGGTTTGAGGGTGCCCCTCGGGGGCGCCCTGCTCAGGTCCAGGCTGGCTCAGGAGTGAGGCAGGTGAGGCCTGGAGCCCGCCAGCTGCTCACCTCGCCTTGCTCCATCTGGTCAGGTTGCAGCCCTTCCCACGTCACGGTGTACAGCGAGTATGGCGTCGACGTCTTTGACGTGCGCACCATGGAGTGGGTGCAGACCATCGGCTTGCGGAGGGTAAGGCCTCCGGCTGCCCTCC